AACTCGAAGTTTGTATAAAAAAATAACGAATAAAGTGGGTTTATTCCACAAAATTTATATCCACTTAACAAATTTAAATTTTTTCCCCCAATTTTCGGGCCATTATGATTTCTAAAAATTCGAAAAGGTCATTCAAAATGTGGAATACTCATCAGCAATAACAAATCCATTGAATATACAAATGTAACATCATTTGAGGAAAAAATTGAATCCTATTGCTGGTATTATATATAAAATTCTAAATGTCTTTCCTGTTTGATACCTAAACAGTATTTATTTCTGTCTTTTTTATTCAAATTTACAATATCCAATATCTATTTGGGGAAGTACAAATATTTCATGTTTGAAGCCACTCGTGGAATTACAAAATAAAACAATGAATTGCATTTTTTATTTACTCTATTTCTTTCCACGTCCTGTATGATTAATGTCAATTTATCATATATACAAAAAACTGATTTGGAATCAACTGTGAATCTATACAAACAAACAAACGAACAAACAAAGGTAAAGACTTTCTGAATTTAGTTACATTATATAAACTCTAAATTTGTTGTTTTATTCATTCTGTCAGGAAGGAATTGAAAATATCAAATTTGAATTTTCATGAAGTTAATACGATTCACGCCCATGAACCAAGGCAATTTAATTTATTGATAGCACGTAATTATAAGTCAAACTTTGGTAAACAATCAATATTCCATAATGGAATAATTTTATATAATTCCTCACCTAATGAGTTGAAAAATATAGAAGAAGCACATTTTGAAGTCAAATTGAAGAAATATTTGCTCAGTAAACTTTAATTCCATATCTATTAGGTACTCATTCACAATTTGATTACTTGTAATGGATTATAATATTTTCATTTTATATATTATTATAATTTTTTTATGAAAAACAATAATTGTGCAATCATTATTGTTTCGATTTGTTATGTGATATGTATGCTTTGTTGTATATATCCCTATTATAAACAATAATGTTTCTTGGGGTAATAAAGACAATCAATCAACACACTTACCATGTTGAAAAGAGACAACTTCCATGCACTCAAATGAAAATAAAATCACTACACCCAAGTTAATTTTTAGTTTTTCACTTTTAATAACTCGAATTCTTTTTTTTTTCATCTATTCAATCACTCCCTATATAAATAAAAAGAAAATAATAACAAAATCACTCACCATATCTAAAAAGAAGAAGAACAACAACAATACAAAACATCCCAGTCTTTTTATTGCTGAAAAATTCTACCAGAACTCACTCACACATATACACAAACATCTCACTATAATCACTCAATGACACCATGCATTTTGATTCCCACGTGTAAACAATATAAGTTATTTTTTCAAATCAATCAGATCGACTGCACGCGATGAAATCTAATACAATACTGTGTCGCCACCGGTATCGGATGCATGATTAACCTTCTTAGTGATTCATCAGTTACGTCATCATTCTAAGGGAATAATTCTCGAACAGGAATTGTATTTCTGACTCATCACATCGAAAATTATGTAGACGAGGTATGGTTCAGAAAGAAATTTAATATACAGTGTCACCGTTAAAGTCCGTATCATGAGAATATGTTTATTCACGCAAATTCGATGTTCATGAATTGTTTTGTCTCTAAAAATGATTCAAAATTTCGTCAAACTCAAAGTTTTTATGAAAAAATAACAAATAAAGTGGGTTGTTTCACAAAATTTCATATCCACTCAACAATCAACAAATTTCAACAATTTCAATTTTTTTCCATAATTTCCGGGCCATTGTGATTTCTAAAAATTCGAAAAGGTCATTCAAAATGTGGAATACTCATCAGCATTAGCAAATCCATTGAATATACAAATGTAACATCATTGAGGAAAAAATTGAATCCAATTGCTGGTATCATATATAAAATTCGAATTGTCATTCCTGTTAGATACCTACCTAAACAGTATTTATTTCTGTCTTTTTCATTCAAATTTACAATATCTAATATCTATTTGGGGAAGTACAAATATTTCACGTTAGAAGCCACTCATGGAATTACAAAATAAATCAATAAAGTGCATTTTTAATTCACCCATTTTAGAATCAACTGTGAATCTATACAAACCTAAAGACTTTCTGAATTTAGTTTCATTATATAGACTCTAAATTTGTTGAAAATATCAAATTTGAATCTCAATGAAGTTGATACGATTCACGCCCATGAAACAAGGCAATTTAATTTATTGATAGCAAGTAATTATAAGTCAAACTTTGGTAAACAATCAATATTCCATAATGGAATAATTTCATATAACTAACTCCTTACCTAATGAGTTGAAAAATATAGAAGACGAAAATTTTAAAATCAAATTAAAAAATATATGCTCAGTAAAATTTAATTCCACATCTACTATTCATTTAACATTTGATTATTTGTACTTTTTATGAAAAACAATTATTGTGCAACTATTATTGTTTCGATTTATTATGTTATATGTATGTTTTGTTGTATATATACCCCTATTACAAACAATAATGTTTCTTGCGGTAATGAAGACAATCAATCAATACACTTACCATGTTGAAAAGAGACAACTTTCATGCACTCAAATGAAAATAAAATCACTACACCGGAGGTAATTTTTAGTTTTTCACTTTTAATAACTCTAGCTCTTTTTTTTATCACTCGAATAAACCGTACGCGTTGAAATTTAATACGAGACTGATGGCCGATTGCATGGTTTGATTGTAATGACTAATTAGTAACGTCATCCTTTCAAGGGTTTACAAACAAATTCAATATGTATATGTATATGTGTCATTATTAAAGTCCGTATCATCATGATATGATTTTTTTCCCAATCCTACTATATTCTTTCATCCATCAGGATATATTCTTCTTATTCTGTAGATACAGGACAAATTATGTTGCACTACGTGAGATCTATTTCATCATTGCACACATACACACCTCATAGAACACCCAATTCATTAGATAGATAATAATAATAATACTATCTGATAATTTATGAACGAACCGTAGTTGTCTATCTATTCCTGTCGTTCACGAATTGATAGCTTCAATATAAAAAACCTATATACTGAACTACAAACTACAGAACTTTTCACAATAATATTCTTCTGCGAGCTTCAAGCGTGTTCATTTCCAATAATTCGAGATGTATAAAAGGCATGTTAAAAGAAGTTGTCTTCGTTCGAGGACACGGCGAGCGAAATTGCTATTGTAATGTCTGAGCAATGAAATTTTGACTCCAAATAAAATATCATTTCGGAAATTGGGGGTGATTCCATGACCGTTGGCGAGCAGTGTATATCACCATTTGGTCATATAGTGCATTTTTGGTATATCTCTCGCTCCAGCAAATTTCAGGATTCTTACCTAACGATTACGTAAGATACAGAGGGGTGTTTCCATTATTAGAAGTGGGTCACACTGTATATGATTCATATAGAATTATGAAAAATAATATAGGTCATTTCATTTGAAAAAAAGAATTATTGTTATCGAGCCGCAATGTATTTTATTGATATTGAGAAAAAGTGAATTTAGATTGAATAAAAATCGTGGAACATTATTCCAGAAAAGTTTTCGAATGTCGAATTCACGAACAGGAATTTTATCTTTCGTTGAAGTCATATATGGAATTTTCTCAATATTCAATTTGCCTGAATTAGAATTTGATAAACAGATTGCAATCAGCAAATCTTCTTTGGTACTGGACTGAATTCGTGCATTTTGGTTCACTAAACTATTTGGTTGCGCAGAAGACTGAAACGTCAATGTCATTCATGGTCAAGTCTCAAGTCCCTGAATGGCAAATTGGCAAACAATCTGACAGGAATCTTCTATTCAGTAGGTAACGAATTTGTGCCTTTGAAGTGCCCACCTGATGTTAGGTTAGATATTCGTCATTTTCATTCCATCATCTATATAATCCGAGACTAACGAGTCCCAGAAGACGTATACTTATAGTTAATATATAAGGTACCGACGACGTATAGAGTTTCATGTCTGATTGTTGGATGTTGTGTGTCTAAAGGGCGAGAAACAGAATGCGTAGTACAGCGCCTAATCATAGAGAATGCTAGAGAAAACGAAACAGGCGGATGCACCTCCATCTTTGAGGCCAGGCCAATCAACAGTGCATCACTATTGTCGCCATTCTATATTATAAATCCACCCTCGTGAAGCATGGCGTCATTTTGGGAAGGCAGGGGGTGCGATTGTCCTCCTGAGTTTCGACAAAAAATTGAACTGAGAATCTTCCTCTGTAACCAAATGAATATATATATATATAATATATCAGTATTTGTAATTGAAAAAAAAATATACATGATCATCTCGCCGTAGAAGACTAAAAGTCAATGTTACCGTGGTCAAGTCACTGAATTGATAAAAATCTGAAGGGTATCTTCCATGTAGTAATGAATTTGCGCCTTCTAAGTGCCCACCTGAGAGGTTAGATATTTATTATTCTCATTTATTCAACGACGGATTCTAATAGTTGATATCTAAGGTACCGACGTAAACAGTTTCATGTCTGATTGTTGGATGTTGTGTGTCTAGGGCAAGAAAAAGAATGCGTAGTACAGCGCCTAATCATAGAGAATGCTAGAGAAAACAAGACATGCGGATGCATCAACATCTTTGAGGTCTGACTAATCAGAACGTGCATCACTAATGTCGTTGAACTATTTTATAAAGTCACTATAGTTCTGTCTCTTGCCACTTCCGCGAAGTATATGTCAAACAATAAAGCTTACACTTCTTCCATTTCACCTGGTGCAAGTTTAACATTCATTTAATGTTCATTCATTCACTACTCTCAGTTAGAAGTGCTGTGTATCTGGATTTCCATTAGTGGTAAAATACTTTGTTTCAAGTTCCAGATCTACCAGAAAACACGTGAGCAGGTTATTCATGTACAATTTGATTATTTGAACTTTTGTGGTAGAATCAATCATTAACGGAAAGTTGATATCAATAAAACTCTCATAAAAATCAAAAAAACGTTTAATAATACGCGCTCCCTCTGTAAAATCGACAATATAATCCCTTAAAAAAACACTCCCATTCCCCACTATGTCTTCTCCTCTTTCTCTTTGTTGTACTTCTCCAGCTCCCGCAAGAATTGCGCCTTGGGCTTCATCACGTTGGGCCTGTCGCCCCGGCACTTGGGGCAGTACCACTTGCCCTTCGGTTTCGTGGTCAAGGTCACGCACGAGAAGTGGAACCACTCGATGGGGCACAGGTCGTTGTCGCACATGATCATCTCTCCGTAGGATATCTGGTCGCAGAGGCAGTAGGTCGGTTCGTCCGGGTCGATGGCCGGTTCTTCTTCTCGCGGCGGGGATTCTTCCTTTTGCGCGGACGCCGTTTGACGCGCCTTGCGCTTCTTCTTCTTGCCTGTAACGGGCAATTTTCTCGGTTCAGTCGAGTCTCCCATCAATCATTTAATGTTGATAGAAGATAGTTTCGAATAAAGAGAACTAAGTAACTGCCAGATCACTCTGGACATGAAGCCATAACAGAGGCACCAAACAGATGACGTACTCCGTACGCACGCACGTGATTGGCCTACACAGTAATGTCACACTTTCATCATTGGAAAATACGTTGAGAATATTTCTCTTGGATATTAACTGATTGTCTAATTATTTGACAAGTTTTGCTATATAATAACGCAAAAACCAAGATCTCAATGAATAACAAACCTATGAAAATTAATCCCAGGTTCTTTTTATTGGTCGAATTTTCACATTTATGAGTTGAACACGTCACCATGTCTTGAACAAAAATGTGAATACAGGGAACATTCTTTAATAATACTATTAGGCCTGTTCTCTTTTGCTGGCTCTACCTGCTGAACTTGATTTTTTTCTATGACTTGCTCTGTTTACATCATGCCATGAACAGAGACAACTATGGAAAAAAATTAACTTTAGCAAGTTCAGCAATACAAACGAACAGGAGGGTTATTACTGCTGATATTAAATTTGAAATCACCAGGCATCAATGTCACCAAAAGATGGCCGACTCGACTTCACTTGTGATAAGTAGACAGCATAGCATAGGAAGGGGCAGTTCCTTTGTTCTCATTATTCGTAGGTTGATAGTGTCCACTTGTCATCAAAATAATATTCGCGGTAGTCAAGGTCATCATCTGATGCTGCAATGACATGAAAACTACGGATAAGCATTCCTTACTTCTGGCTCAGATTGGAAGTTAGACATGTTTTCCCGTAGTTTTTATGTCATCACAACGTAAGATGAAGTGGGAATTAACAGTAATCTATTTCCATTGCTTAAATTTCACGGCCATTTGTGAAAAACAATCAGATATTGATATTCAAATCAAAAATATTGCTTTTATCAGTTTTATCTGAAGATTTTACGTTAACGGGTGAGTTGTTCAACGTTTCCAAAACGATTTCAAAACCTGTTTCCACACAATAGAAATTCATTTTTCTCTAGAGCTCTATGATAACTTAATCCTTATAGATTCAAAAATTACCTCTCATTTTGGTCCCATTTTTGTTGAGACATCATAGGCAATGCACCATATATAGAAATAATACATATATGATATAAACATTTTACAGATAGGAAAAAAAAAGAAGCAGAAGAATTTACAAAAATATTTTCCTTTTTCAATCTCAAGCTACCAGCACCAGAAGCTATGGTGAATGTACAAGTGCTTAAAAAACTTAATTTATTGAAATCCAGCTTCTTTACCTCAATTTCTTGCCCAATAATCAATTTCCTCTCAAACTTTGAATTCTTAAGGAATGCAACACTATACACAAAATGAAAATGGTGAATTTTTCAAGACATATTAAATAAGAACTAAAGCTGATTGGTCTATTGTGAATTTTTTCAGATAGGTACCCAATTTAATTGATTATTCTTTGTTTATTTGATTATATAAATTCATCATGACCACTACAGTGTTTTTTAAAAAATTCCACCAGTTTGAAATTAACTGAGTTGAATAATAGCATGCTATTTTTGGATATTCTCAAGAATAATTTCAAATAATTTTTGACAGAATACTGCTCTTGTCCTAACATGATATCATGAGGGGTTAACCACATTTTTGAAATTGTTCATTCCCAAGTCATGGATGTGACTCCTTTTGTAGTGCTTGTTGTGAAAAAATATTCATATACCATTTCATCTCAACTTAATACAAATTATACTTGATTATGCAGTATATTTTCCTATGATTTGCTGTCAACTTCAGTGTATACTTTGCAAGAGATTGTGTGGAAATATTAAATATCAAGAATTTGTTTATTCATTCATTCATTCACCTTCACTGAAATTTGATCTGAAGAGACCCATTCTTATACAAAATGGAACAGTAAAATAAACAGTTTCCTGTGAATGATCAATCATAAAGCCTCTGGAATGTATTTGAAGGAATACTTGATTATGCAGTATATTTTCCTATGATTTGCTGTCAACTTCAGTGTATACTTTGCAAGAGATTGTGTGGAAATATTAAATATCAAGAATTTGTTTATTCATTCATTCATTCACCTTCACTGGAATTTGATCTGAAGAGACCCATTCTTATACAAAATGGAACAGTAAAATAAACAGTTTCCTGTGAATGATCAATCATAAAGCCTCTGGAATGTATTTGAAGGAATTAACAAGTTGAATCATCTGCAATGTTGCAATATTCTACTGAATATTCAGTTAAACTATTGATGAATCATGTGAAAGATATGTGAACTACTTGAGAGTTTATACTTACTTGTGGAAGTTTTCTTTTGAGTTGCAGGTGTGACTGCTGGAGGAGTTTGTTTCACCTCCTGACTTCTAAGAGAATGCTCAGTAGGTACAGGCTCAGGATTGGTATTTTCTGTGAAAGTATCATTTCTAGCCCTCCTGGCCCTTTTAGCAGGTCGTTCACTACTAGGAGCAGAGGTAGTATTGCTGCTAGTTATATTATTATTATTGTTATTATTAGCTGCAATTGGCGTTGTTGGCACAGGAGGTTCCTTCACCTCCACTGGGGTCTGCTCTTCCTTACCAAAATCTAGGTTCTTGTAATCCTGATCTAATAGCCTTGTCTTGATTTCAATCTTGTCTAATATTGCTTGCAACAGATGCATTTTTTCATCACCTAGCTCCTGAGCTGCAATTAGAGCTTGCTGCATTCTCAGAAAGCTTTTGGCTCTTTTTGAAGGTAGGTCCTTGCTGATATTTTTGAGATTCTCTGTTTGGGTGGAAACTTCTCGAACTCGAGCTGAAAATGACATTTTGAATCAAGAATCTGAGCAGTAAGAAACAATATGCTTATTATACCTAAATAGTATACATCAAGTTCTCTCATTCTAGAGATGAGACGTTGTAACTCGTCTGGAAGATTTTCAACGCAGTCCAAATAGTTTTCCACATATGTGGCTGAATAAACAGCCTCCACTGATACCTGATTCAACATCTTTTAATACACAATTTCGAATAAAATCTCTACATTTCAAAACCAAACGACGCCTTCCATTTTTGATTTCCAATGTTTGTTTTGTCAATATGTCAATATTGTTAGCTGTCGGTGTCACGGATGACAGCAAGTAATGAACAAGGTTCTGTGCTAGCATAGGAAACGTAATGCTCAAGAACTTTTTTTGCTATGTTCCCTTACTCATATAAGAAATAAGAAGAGAAGGCGTTAACCCTATCTTGAATCACGGAGCTCTGATATTTGTGTGAACAAATAAACAATCAATTTTCAAAATATTGTGATGGAAATCGACTTAGAAATTTCAGACGAAGACTACGTGATCCAAAGAGCCAAAGATTCGTTCAAATCGAACCCCGTAGCAGCAAAAGCGTGGGTCCTAACGGCGAAAACCCTCTACCCAAATAACTTTGCTGTCCAATTCGAGGCGTACCAAATCGAAAAAGATGCCGGACACATCAAAGAAGCTGCCAAATGTTTCAGCGACCTAATCACCAGCTTCCAACAGTCCCCTGACCTTTGGAAGGAAATTGAGAAAGTGACAGCAGCCCTGAGAGCTGAATCTGATAGCCAAGATGTTGAGAAACAATTCTTGTGCGAAATGTTTAGGCATATATCATCTGAGGTGCAACACAAATTGTTGTTGTTCACTGCCGACCATTGTGAAGATACCATGGAGCATTGTCGCCTACTGCTTCTGCTCTTACAGAGGTTTCCTACTGCTATTTCAAGTAATGTCCTTAGACTAGTTGACACACTTATGAGTGCAGAAAAACACAGTATAGATGGTCACTTTCCTGTTAATCCTTACAGGAAGCTGCTGGTTTGTGATTTACTTCCACTATTAGCAAATGAACCAACAAAATTGGAGCTTTCTTCCAAGATGTTGCATAAATTGTTGCAAAAGGCTATAGAATTTTATTTGTGTTATCTGGGACTGAATACAAGCACCATACAAGACTCTGATACAAAAATTGAGGATCCTTGGGGTAAGCTATTTGGTGTGCTGGAATTCATTGGGAAGCAATTGAACTGGGAGCCCTATTTGACAAACTTCACAACAAATTGGTCTAAGGAGAGCTACTGGCAAAAAATTATAACATTTTGTCAATCAAAATCTAAAGGATACCCTTTGGAAGACAAACAATTGCTGTTTTGTCTATCAGTATTTTTTGTTCACTGTCTTTTTGAGTATAATGCTAGCTTGATACCAGAGTCAAGCCCTGGGCAAACTCCCACAACTTATATGATGGTTGAAGCCTTTTCTGACTCTAACCTTCCTAGTCTCATTGCTGAAACTAAAAGTAAAAAGAGGAAAAGTGATGCTGATGTCTTCACAACCCCCTCTGTGACAGTAGAGAAACCAGAGCTGAAAAATATTCAAAGTAATTTCATGATATGTATGAACTGCTGGGATCTATTGAACTCTTCAGAAAATTTACAGAGAGAATTCATCAAGTTGAATGCTCATTTAAAACTAGACTTGATTCTTTCAGGATTTGTTATTGATTATGCCCTTTATAAAAATTTGTATGATGAAGCACTAATGTTCCTACATAAAATCACTGACACAACACTCTTGGCACAGAAATATTTGCGAATCACTGGTATACTTTATGTTAAAAAAAATTACAGCTCCTGTTTAGAGCCCATACTCCTAGCCCTACCACTTCTACCTACAAACAATGTGGGCAGCCTGAGTAACAACCTCATAATTGGAGGCAATCAAAAGCACTTGCACTACTTGCCTCTTACCCGTATGGCTATACTACAGTATTTAGTCAAAGTGTTATTGAGATGTGTCAGAGAAAACATGGCAAAGCACAGCTACAGTGAGCTATCCATAGGACACACTTTTGTGCTGTCCCAACTGGACTGGCCACAAGAAGAAGACTTCATCCCTCCACTGCTAGAGCAAATTCAGCAGCACAGGTCATTCCAGTATCACAATTTCCAGAATTATATAATTAATGTGGACATTCTGGAAGAAATAACCTACTTGTGGACTAGCCAGGGGGGGCAGATCCAGCTGGATATTCTGCCTCATTTGGGGCAGCGACGGATCGGTACTAGAGGGGCCGATAAAGGGGTGAAGGAGGAGATCAAACAGGCCATTAGAAGGCAGATTGCCAGGAGTAATGAAAGAGTGGATGAGTTGTTGGTTAATTTTATTTTGAATGAGAGGGCCCAAATTCTACAAACGCTTGTCTAAGTTTCATTTACTTTTTCGAGATAATTTCATAACAGTTTTCATGTATCCAAAGTTGAAATATAGTAGTTTTTAATTGTATAATGTATCCAATTTTTTTTACCCTTCATCATATGAGCGGGATAATTCAAATTTTTCGTGTCAATGTTCTTCTTCTGTGTTTTGGACTATGGATAAGAGCAGTGATGTAAATGGAGAAACAGAAGAAGTGTTCTGTGGTGCCGTCAAGTTGCAAGTTGGCCAACAGAATGGAATAGTGACAATGACAAGCAGCCGCGGTCACGGTGTGCTGGCAGCACTGTCGCAGTTTATCGTCAAGAAATGACAATGGTGGATGGCAGCGGGCGAGTTTCGACGTGATAATCAAAAGCAAATATTTACAAAAGTGTTCAAAATGGGTGTTATGTAATATATAAACCGAGTGTATTTTTAAGAAACAAAAATGCTACAAAGCTGCAGGAATGCCTATCGTTTCAAGATAACCCAGTTCAATGTATTCCTAGTGATAGCTTCTGTATTGACATCCATACAAGGTATACCTACTACTACTGTTCTTTATTTTTATTTACTGCTTATTGGATATTGAACTTCGATGAGAACTGATCGAAAAAAAAATTGTCTGGTAATTCTGGTATTGCATTTACTCCTGGTCTCAGCGATTTCGCGTCAGGTTTTAATAAAACAAGAATTTTCCTTTTTTTGTCTGTACATTATATATTTAGCTCTATTCTCGCAGATTTATTGCCCCTTTCATAGGTTTGTTTATTGCCTATTAAAACAAAATGAATGTATAAAGCAGGGTTTATGAACTGTTTCAGTCTAGAAAAGAAAATCCCAAATTGGAACTCTATCAGAAGGATTAGAGCTTTATACCAAAAAATTATTAATTGTATACTTTTGTATCAAATCAACATTCTTGAAGCACATATTCTATTCTGATCCAGTTGAGGATCCAGTATCCATTTCTATTGAAATGTCACCTGTTTTTTTTATCTTAAAAATCATGTATATGGATGGTACCTACAAGATTATTGTTATCAATATTTACATCAGTATAAAATTTTAACTGATTCCACCTTAATATTTAATCAGTTTTTTCCAATACTTCTTTTGAAGCAATCATATAGGTACTCAATATAAGTTGATTGAAATCAAAAAATTAAATCAGATTAATCATTATCATTTTCAGGACATGTGCTTGAGTTCACTGTGGAACCAATAGATACAGTAGTAGAGGCAGGGCAATCAGCTGTGCTTGACTGTGTAGTAAAGGCTTCACATCATCAACAGAGTGTCCTAATACAATGGCTGGACCAGGATGGATCCAAACTCACCTTCATGGGTGATTCATACAGGTAAACATTTTGTGAAATCTGAAAGTAGGTATTCATAGTTCAGGTATTTTCCTTTGTGGTTGGATTTTATCATTTATTCACTCATTTGTGAGACACTATTAAGGAATTCTAATGTTGAAACCAGATAATAATGCAATTATACACAACTGATTATTGAGATTTTAAAATGAAAGGTCAATACAGGACAGGATGTAACAAAAATTATTTACATTGTAATTATTTCAATATTTTTCATTATATTTTAATTATACATTGCAGATCTCAACTGACCAATGGTTCTTTATACATAAATAGTGTGATAGAGGAACAGAGATTGACAGGAAACTACCAGTGCATGGCAACATTGCCAAATTTTGGCTCTATTGTTAGCCGTGTTGCCAAATTAAATATAGCTAGTAAGTATAATGGAATAATAATTGTTGATTCAACAGGAATTTGTCATTTATTTCATTAATTTTTATGAATCATTATATTCTATTTATTTTGTGGATAATTTGAGAGTAATCTCAATAATCATGAAAACAAACATTGTTTATTACAACATTAACTCTTCCTTCATTCTCAAGTAACAACATGATTATTCATTTGAATGACTTGTGTCACTATTTTGCTCTTGTTGCAATGTTGCATGTTATATCCTTTTAGGTTTAGGTAGATAGAAATACAGATATTTTCAAATGAAAGGATTTTTTCAATTATTGGAAAAGTCCCAGAAATAATTCTTCATGTATGTATTTTTTGAATATTGGCATAAAATTTATAAGTGTGCAAAAAGAAGGAGTAATTTTTTTCAAAATGTACTACTCATAAAGGCCTTAGATGGTGTATGAATTGAGTCTGATTCAACATTTCATGACCTCCTGTGATCAAAATTACATCAAAAAAATCAGGAAACTATATCACATATCTCATGTCCTAAATACCCCAAGGTTCATCAAAATATGTACAGGTGAGACAAATTGGAAACATCAGAAGGGGAACTGATGTCATAAAGGACAACTGCCTGTTTCTGAATTAAACAACTGGGAGATTGTGGAATTGCAGCTCTAATCCTCTTGATGTTTTCTGATACCCCATTTTTATTGTAGACACATTTTTGGTGTCCTGAAATGCTAAAGTTGGGTATTGATATTTTGTTGGATAATTCCAGATTTGGATTCAACACCCCAAAAAATATAGGACAAGCAATTCGTCCAGAAATGGAAAAAAAATCGATTTCTGATTTTACAAAAAATCCCAAAGAACCCGTAGAAATCGAAATTTGTCCAAAACGCTTGAACATGTGTCAAATATTTTTCTATTCTCTATTTCACAACATCATTTGTGAAAAAGGTAACTAGCTTCATTACTCAAGGACAGATCATTACTTCCGCTGAATTTTTTGCTCAGATATAGTCCTGCTGTACAACTGTACTATACTCTTATTTGGATGTGTAACTAATAGTGCTGTTAACCTAACCTAAACTGACTCGGCCAAAATACAGTTTTTTTCCTAAAAAGTATCAATTTTGTCACCTTACAGAATTATTGAATATAAGGAATGAAACTACTACTTCTGAATATGAAAGAAGACCACTTTTTCTGAAATTAGGAGATTGTTTATGAGAAAGGGCGAAAAACACCTATTTAGCTTTTTTTACCGAGATCTTGACCCACCCAAGGCCGCTATTTTAGTTTGTTTGTCTCTAAATCTAAAAACATCCTCGCACATAACACGTCCGATCCGAAGTGCTAGACGTCACCAGCGACCTCGATTCACTCGAAAAGAATTTTGAATTTTAGTCCTATCTCTATCTGTTGGAAAATTAGCGAACCGTTAGTCTGATCTCCAATCTGACTGCAAATTCGTGTTCAGCGACCCCTTCTTACCCTAGCTACCAAGTTCCAGCCTACTAGCTCGATTTTCAACATTCAGCTGTCAACTGTCAGAAATCGTAAAAATCAAATATCGTCAACGGAAATAGTCGGACACATCGTGTCGCATATCAAATTGAAGGTCTCGATGAGTTCTACCGATTGGCATCGTCGATTACGAGTAGAAAGTCCTTTTTTCCGGTCCTCGTAGTTACACGTCCGATCCCGAGTGCTACCTCGATTTACTCAAATGGAATGTTGAATTTTTGCTATATCTCTAATCGTTCGAAAAGTAGCGAACCGTCAGTCCGATCTCCGATCTGACTTCAAGTTCGTATTGAACTACCCCTTCTCACCCTGGATATCGAGTTGCAGTCTCCTAGCTCGATCTTTATTATTCAGCTGTCACTTGTCACCTGTCAACTGTCAGAAAACTAAAAAATACGAATATCTCTGCTACGAAAGTAGTCCGACCCATCGTGTCATGTATCAGATTGTAGGTCTCGACGAGTTTTAAACGATTGGCATCGAAAACGGAAAGTCCCCTTTACCGATCGTCGTACGTGACAAGTTTGATCCCAAGTGCTAATCGGCATCAGCGACCTCGAGTTATTCGGATGGAATTTTGATTTTTTCTGATATCTAGCCGTTTGAAAAGTAGCGAACCGTTGATCCGATCTCTGACCTGACTTCAAATTCGTATTGAGTGACCCCCCCCCCCCTCCGCACCGTAGGTACCGAGTTTCAGCCTCCAGCTCGATCTATAACATTCAGCTGTCACTTGTTACCTGTCAACTGTCAGAACACGAAAAAAATCGGATATCTTGGCAACGGAAATAGCCGGACCTATCGTATCGTATATCAAATTGAAGGTCTCGACGAGTTCTATCTATTGGCATCGATATCGAGTAGAGAGTCCCCTTTACCAATCGTCGTACGTGACACGTCCGATCCCAAGTGCTAGTCGTCATCAGTGACCTCGATTTACTCTAATGGAATGTTGCATTTTTGCTCTATCTCTAACCCTTCGAAAAGTGACGAACCATAGGTACGATCTCTGACCTGACTTCAAATTCGTATTGAGCGACCCTATCTCACCCTAGGTGCCGAGTTTCAGCCTCCTAGCTTGATTTTTAACATTCAGCTGTCACTTGTCACCTGTCAACTGTCAGAAAACGAAAAAATCGCATATCTCGGCAACGGAAAGAGTCGGACCCATCGTGCCGTATATCAAATTGAAGGTCTCGACGAGATCTATCGTTTGGTATGCACGCAAACGAATGATCGATTGTCTTAGGTCTGTCAGGGTTCGAGGAGCAGCCGCGCGACCTGCACGCCCATGTGGGGCAGCGGGCGCACTTGGCGTGCCGCGCTTTGGGCGCTCCCCCGCCCAGGGTCAGGTGGCTGAAGGACGAGCGACCGATGGCGGTGGACGAGCTGCGCATGGTCGTGCTGCCCTCGGGCGCTTTGGAGATCGACGATGTCGTGGTGGGCGATCAGGGGACGTACAGGTGAGTTGGGGGGGTCGGGTTGGGGTTCTTGTTTTAGGCGCTATTGGTGAATATTACATGTGGTGTACCGCAAGGGTCAGTTTTAGGGCCAATTTTATTTTTAATTTACATTAGCTCGATAGCTACTTCAAAATTGAAAGGGAAACTAAAATTATTTGCAGATGATACAACAATAATCTATACTTCAAAAGATTTTGACGATATCAATAATGATATTAAAAATGATTTGAAACAAATATCATCTTGGCTTACGACCAATAAGTTGGCTCTTATTTATAGTAAATCTACGTATATGTACATCTCAAGAAGAACAACGGATATATTGAGTAATACCCTAATATGTGTCAATAACAAATCCATTGAATATACAAATGTAACAAAATTTGTAGGTCTTTATATTGATGAACAATTATCGTGGACTCTACATATAGATCATTTGAGGAATAAATTGAATCATATTGCTGGTATTATATATGAAATTCCATTCCTGCTAGATACCTACCCCATAATGGGATAATTTTATATAACTCCTTACCTAATGAGTTGAAAAATATAGAAGAAGCAGAAAAATTCAAAATCAAATTGAAGAAATATCTGCTCAGTAAACTTTGATTCCATATCTACTAATCATTCACAATTTGATTACTTGTAATGGATTATAATATTTTCATATTATATTTCATTATAATTTTTTTTATGAAAAACAATAATTGTGCAATTATTATTGTTTTGATTTATTATGTTATATGTATTTTTTGTTGTATATATCACTATTATATACAATAATGTTTCTTGGGGTAATAAAGACAATCAATCAATCAAGATGGATTCACGCCTGGCGTTTTCATTTGCTCCCGTAATTTTCGTTAAGTGTTCCCAGGCGTTTTCCATATCAAGACATGATACAATTAATAAAATTCCTGCAAGCAGTTTTCATAGACATATGACGTATAAAAAGAGGGGAGACGAAATTGTTTACATTTTGTCCCGATTCAACATCGTTTTCAGCAGAAAATGGTGATGACTAATTTCTGCAGATTGCCCTAGATCTACCGCCTGTGTTTGAAAACCAGTGAAGCATCAATCATCATATATCAATTATACAGGGTGTTTCAGTTTTTTGTAGCAGGACTTCAACAGCTTGAAGAAGACATTTTTTTTAAGATGAAAATCTCATACAAACATATGCGTGGGAGCGTCGTTTCCGATTCACAGGGTGTCAAAGTTTCAGATTTTTGTTATGTATTGATTTTTCTAGTTTTAATTATAATGGTGTTCAAAAAAATCAATTTAATTCTGCAACTGAATTTCATTTGGTATGGAAGCTTTCGGTCATTCTATTTTCCAATTAAATGTTCAAGAAATGTCAAATAAGTGTGTTTGAGAAATAACGGTTTTATTACAAGTAATTTATTTTTGGCATTTATCTCGAGATCCTTACAGTTTTCGAAAAATTTACATGGGGGCAAAAAGTTTCCAAATTGAAAGGACAATCTGAATCTATGTCCCATTGAAAGAAGAGACGGTACGCATAAAAGTTCTACAGGGTTAAATTGGGTACGACCTCTGAAAGTCTATCACCATGTAGGTATTAAAAAATTCTCAATAGCCTCAAATATTGAATTTTTGAAGTGTAATAGGTGTACCAAATTTCAATCAATTACTCCGAGAATTGTATGAGAAAATTAAAAAAACATAAAAAAAATCTGAAACTTTGACACCCTGTAAATCGGAAACGAAGCTCCCATGCATATATGTTTGTATGAGATTTTCATCCTGAAAAAATGTCTTCTTCAAGTTGTTAAAGTCCTGCTACAAAAAACTGAAACACCCTGTATAATATAAATTTCTTATGTATTATTATTCTGTTTGTTCCTTAATTGAAATTATGTGAATTCTGCTATTGAAATTATGTAAATGTTACTAATTTCATCAATACATGAAATTACAATGTATCATGCATATTTCTCTTTCACTCAATGTAAAAATCCGACGTTACAATGTTGTTATGTGTTTGTTACCATTTCAGGACTTTTTGTGTTTCATTTTATTTTCAGTGTCTTCTTTTTTTCAAACTATATGAACACAATTATTAATAATCTACTATGGTTCGCCAGTGCGTGGATCGTAAAAAAGTTCACAATTTAAACCTCAAATTGGTTTTTGGACGGTAAGTTAGGTTATGCTTTTTTAACTTGAGCAGTGATGGTTCTGTTGTAGTTATCACAGGTTATACAAATAAATGATTGCAAAAAATTATGTGTTTTTTCATTGAATTCTAATGAATGATGGATCATCCTCTGGTAAGTACCTAAGGTACTACAAATATTTGGTATCAAAATCAAAAGATTATACCCAAAAATTTTATGATGGGTATAATAGCTTTGTCATTGTAGTCTTGCTCCTCGCTTAACGTACGCGACTGATAGAAAAGTGTCATGCACACTTTACAGCGTTGCCATTTTCTCTTTCAAATTCATTTAAAACTTTGGAGCTATGTATGATTGTAAACAAATAATGTTTTATGAAATGTTGTCTCCCCTCTTTTTATATGTATGGCAGTTTTGATGGAATTATTTTTTTTTTCTGTGACGGGAAAAAAGATTGGCATTTCATCTCTGGTAGCAGGTTATAAAATGTCACTTCTCATAAATTACTTTTTTCCCGGATATACAGTGTCACACTTTGAACGGCTCCCCCCCTATATCTCAGTTATTAGTCATGCGATTCCAACCAAATTAGGTGTGGTTTGAATATCCATCAATATGATCAGTTTTCCAGAGATGCACATTATTTTGGACAGTGCCGTGCGTTTTTATTGAACTAAAAAGAGGTCGATTTTTCATAAAATCATATCAGGCATTTTTTTCACAGGAAATCTATATCACATTATTGTTCCTCATGCTTTCAAACCTCCATATGCAAAAGATCACCTAATTCCGAATTAACTGCATTGGCTTCATTTTTTTCATTTTCAGTCTCGAATAAATAGTGACTTCAAATCAACTACGAATTTTGGAACGTTCAATGGCTCCGGTAGGTGGAAAATCATGATTTGAAAGGAAAAACGAGTTATACTTTTTCATGTTGAACTCACCGTTTCCGAGTAAATAATTATATTACGTTCGCAAAAATGCTGTTTAGATGTGCCTGTTTTTCTGAAACCCTTCATAGGCATCTCATGAAAATCCAAATATGTGGGTTTGAAACCATGAAGAACAATATTATGAGGTCAGTTTTCCTGTGAAAAATTCATTTCAATAAAAATGCACGGCACTGTCTAAAATGATGTTTGTCTTTGAAGAACTGGTCATATTGATGATTATTCGTACCGATACAAATTTGGTAAAGATCGCATGACTGATTGCTGAGATATAGAGGGGGGGCCGTTTGAAATGAGACACGCTGTATATCACATAAATATACACTGTCGATGTCTTTTGTTGTGCTATAGTTCCGAAAAACAATACCGTCTCCGAGAAAGAACTGCAAGTCCTTTTATCTTCCATTCGACTTCGCAATTACGTATATTACTAAACAACCACTAAATTCGCAATTTTTTGAAATCAAATCACAGAATTGGACTGACAAAAGTGACATCAGATATATTTGATTACTTCAAAAAAATGATCAAGATGCCTAACGCAGGTGTCCCTACTGTTGAAAACTTAAAATTTCACGTCGATAATTTTCAGATTTCAAAATAATGTTATATCTTCTCAATATTGATTCGTCCTTTCTTCTGTCTTCGGATTTTTGGCTCCCTCCGCTACGCGTCGGGAGACAACAAAACCTGGAGCTAAAGATCTTCTACCTTTTTCCCTTGTATAATAAATAACCATTGTCTGTGATACTGATATTTCGTACAAATCACTTTGATTTGTTACCAGATGCAACGCGACCTCTCTCAACTCGTACAAGCTGAGCGACAAGGCGACGTTGCAGATAGAGGGCGGCGCGGGGGAACGGGGTGGCCCCCGCCTCTCGCCGCCCACCTTCATCGCCCAACCGGTGGCGGGCACGTTCGTCGAGGGGCAGAACGTGTCGCTCGATTGCGCGGCCAACGGCCATCCGCCGCCTACTATCAGTTGGCTCAAGGACGGATATCCTATCGACATGAAGTGAGTTTGTGCCATATACGTATTAATAATCAATACGAATAATCTCTATCTGTTTCCATAGCGAAATATGAAGCCGATTTTTGAAGACAAATGACTATCCATAAGGAAAAGTTTCGAAACGATCAGACACATACTGCTTTGATTGAAAGGCTAGTAGACGTCATTGTCCACCGAAACGCATGTCTTTAATGACTACTATAATAGCGCATGGCGCATGCGTATCATGCCACCAAATCCTTATGGATATTCATTTGTTTCATATTTTTGGCTTCATCCTGGCACCTGTTATGATCCGTATTGTTTATTAATACGTATATGGTTTGCGCTCGATCTTCAATGGGAAAGTTTCTACAATTGAGGTTCTTATTTCACTGTGGAGTTTGTACAAATTTCCAAAACTCAACGTCATCCTTTGAAGGGCTGATAGTCCTGCTCATGACTGACCAGAATATTACAATATGACCTTGGTAAAATAATGATCGGTTTGGAGATATTGGCACTTTTATGAATTTCTTGAAAATAGAAACCTTCGACCAGTATTTCGAGTGCCGCAGGTACAAAACTTCATAGTAACAACTCTTAAAAAAATGGTTGTCCGATTCGAGAGTTAATTTATTTTAATAAGCTTACTTAAATTGGTCTTGCACCAATATTTTCATTTCGAATTCAGTTTATCTTGGATTGTTATCAATAGGAATTCCCTTTCGTGCTCTCAAAGCGATAGAAAAAAAAATAGAAGGATTATTACAGGTTGCATAACAAAAATTAGAATCATAAGCTATGGAGTTTTGTACCTTTAAGGCACCTAAAATTCTAATCAAGGATTTCAATTTTCACGAAATAGTCCAATAAATGAAGGAGGAAAAAAAGGCAAAATTAACGTTAATTACGCACTATTTTCATCTTCCGGTTGGAAGTAGCTTTTGGTACCTCATTAAATATAAGACAAAGTTTGACTGGAAAACACGTGCGATGGTCTCATATTCAATCTTTCAGATATGACATCATAATTGAGTTTGTGGCATGGTCTAATTCTGAAATCCCTATATTTATATTTCTTTAAGGTATGTTGAACAAAATAATAGCTGAAACCAAACTCTCTCACTGCATTTCTTATTGACTGTGAAGGATCCTTAACAAAATACTGGATTACAAGAACTTCCTCGTCTTCGTTGTCTTGCCTTCTCACTATTTTCTTGATATTCGACAAACTGGAAGTTCTGTCAAATTTAGCAGCCAAATACTTCACATAATTCTTACTTGGTATTCTCCTGTCTGGATAACTCCTCATAAACTTGCAAAGTGTTTCAGCAAGATTTTTATTAACTGAAAAATAGCACTCCAAAATATCTCTTCTTTGTTCCAGTGGATATGGCATCGTGAAAAAAAAAATTGTCGAAATTTTGCGCACTTATGTCACTGGAATGTTGACCAAATGTCAATTCACTTTTTCATCATCTCATTCTATTTCAACCATAACTTGGACCAAATATCAATATTTGATTTTGCTGATATTTCTTCAAGCCCTCGATAGAATATATGGAAAGTATATATTTTCAAAATCAGGAAAGATAGCTCTTTCGAAATATGCGATAATATACAGGGGGTTCCATTTGAGAAAAAAATTTTTTCACAAACCCCGTATATGAAATGATAAAATCAAGCAGAGAACACATTTTCTACAAGGAAATGACATCTCATTCAAGTACCTTTTTCCAAATTTCGAATATCTTTTTGCGTTTTCGAGATATCAGCTGTTGAAGTCGAGAAATCCATAGTCAATCACCCTGTACATACATAGTGGCCACCCATGCCATCAGTACACAGCGATTTTGCGATATTAACTTTGGAAAATGAATTTTGTAGCGATTTGGACAGCAGATTCTCCCTGGTGGGTACTACAAGCTCATTGAGAATAACGAAGATCCAGGAGGAGGATCGAGGCACCTACCAATGTCGGGCTCAGAACAGGGAAGACAGCCTCGACGCCTCTGCCCGGATCCTGATCCAGGTAATTCCATTCATTTCAAGAAAAAAACAAAAATCGTGAATCAATTAACGGTAAAGTCGATTTGAAATTTTGAATTCGGTGTGTTCCAGGTGCCTCCGAAATTTCTGAAGAAACCCCAAGACAAAACGGAGCATGCGACTAAGGATGTCGAGTTGGAATGCTCAGTGTATGGCATTCCTGAGCCTAAGATACAGTGGTTCAAAAACGGGGAGTTGGTGAAATATTCCGACTATTATAAGTTGGTTAACGGGTAAGAAGTTCAAACGTTGGTAGAAGTCCATTGTAGCTCAAAGTGGAGTGATAGGGTTCGTTCAGAAAAGCACAAAGTCATCCCCATGACTTTTTAATTTGAAAACATCAAATTAGAAACATGTATCGGTCATATGCGATGTCCAGCTTCAGCCTATGCTAAAAAGTCCTACTATACAAGAAAATACATCATAATATGAAAAACCTTTTTTAAATTGATAGTACTTGCATGGGCATGAAAAGTTTATGTTAGATTTTGAAGTATTGATAAGAAAGGGTTTTTTAAAGGATCCCAACCCCCAAAGAGAAAATCAAATTATGGAGGACCATGATGAGGCTCAACAATGAGTAACCAACTATTGTTGTTTAGGAAGAAGTATCTACGTTTAAATAATATTGATACAACCATTCGTTATTTAAAATCGTCATGGTTTTTCGGTAACAAAAAACGCTAGCTATTGAAGACGTGATCCACCGATAAGCTGACCAATAGCGACATATTTCTCAACAACCAATGAGAGCAAGATTTCACTTCCACCCTAGGTGTATACTGAGACACACATAATACATAGTTTGTAAAATACTATAAAATAAGGAGAAGAACTTGAAATAACTTATCCGTTCTAACCATATTCAATCTTGAATCGGTTGTTTTTCAATGGGGTGCGTGCAAGATCTGTCAAATGGCCGACCCTGGAGGTAAAACATTGAAATATATCCTCACTTCTTATTTGTTTACAAAGGATTGAAATCGTTTTTCACGATTATTTTCGCATACGAATCGTGTTTTTCGGCTATCCATTAAATCAAGCATGCCATCACATTGTACTGTTGTACAATTCACTAAAATGCAGCGAGAGACGAAGGAATCCGATTTTCCAGGTAGATATGTACATATTGTGATGCAAAAGTACTTTATTCACTCATATAGTCTTCATCTTGAAATGTCATTTCTCATTGGAATTCCTTCTGCTAATAGAAATACTCGTGAAGTTTCTAAAAGAAGGCAAGAAGATTGGATTCATGCAATCAAACGGGAGGGTCGGGAGGACTGGTCTGACATGCGGACGAAATATGATGGCGTGTGCCGTAGAAATTTTCACTCTATTAGCAGTATTAGCTTCTATTGCAGAAGTGGCAGAAGGAATTCTAATGAAAAATGACAAAATTTCATAATGAAAACTATGTGAGATAACTATTTACCCGAAAAATCATATTCCTTCGTCTCTCGCTGCATTTTTTGTACTGTGTACAATAGCACAATGTGGTGGCATGGTTGAATCAATGAATAGCCCAAAAAATACAATCCGTATGCCAAAATATTTTGAAAAACTATTTCAATCCTTCGATTCCTTAGTAAACAAATAAGAAAAATGAGGTTGTGTGTCGATGTTTTAGAGAAAAGTGAGGTTGTGTTTCAATTTTTTCACCTCCAGGGTCGGTCATCGTTCACTTGACCTATATTCAAATTAGCTAAATCGCCAGGGTCATCCTATGACGTTGCGATGACATGAAAACTGCGGAAAAACATCGTTAACTCCTGGCTTAGATTCAAAGTTAGACGTTTTCCCGTAGTTTTTGTCATCACAACGTCAGATTTCGATGGGCCCAAAAACTAATCTAAAGTTTGCTGCCTCGTTGCAGGACCGGCTCAGGTCGAAAAACGCGAAAAACATAAAAAATTTCGGAGTACTTCCGGTATTCCGCTCATATCTCGCAAACGACTTCCCATACGAAAAATATTATGGTATTCAAAGTTGAAGAGAATGAAATTCTGCGCCGAATGACGCCTCTATCTTCCTCATTCCCAAATTTATAAGGATGCTGTCATTTGAAAGAAGCCAGATTTCACCAAATTTTGTGAAAAATTCAATATAGTCTCTTTAAGACGACTGTGATTTGGAAACAGCTATCTACTATACGTGAAAAACTTGTAGGATAAGATACGGTTTATAAAGCTTGAGTGGGCACAAAAAATTCGTATTTGGATCAATGTACAGGGTGTCCCGAAATTACATAGAATGATTTCAACCACAGATTCTAGGAACGAAAATAGTAAAAAAAGTTCATATGAAAATGAGTCTAGACATGCTTGAGATGATGGGTTTTTGTAAATATTTTCGTAACCCTCTGTGATGAAATAAATTTTGTACATGTACAGGGTGCGCCTCTTGAAATGGAACCCCACTTAACTCTTTTGGTTTCAGATATGAAAAAATTCTGAATGAAAAAGTTTCTTGAAACGACCCCAACTTTCATTTCGTGAAATTCTTCAATATACAGGGTCATTCGTTTTTTCCGGAAACTACATGAACTTTGAGTTTCTCAATGGAACACCCTATATATTTTACGACATGTCAATAGGGCATTTTTTTTATTTCAAAACTATATATATTTGCATGCTTGAATGAAAAACAGTTGAGTTATATATAAAAAATATGAATGTACAGTTTGAATGGAAGATGCGGTATTTTGGTAAACTTTGATCATATTAACTGAATTAATTTCCATAAAAATATGCAGCTCATATATATTTTTTTAATAAGAAAAAAAGCTCTATAAACATCTCAGAAAATATATAGGCTAGCATTCCTCATTTTCGAAATCGACCTTTTTAGAATTCTGCTGCATAGTAAATTTTGACATTTCTCGAATGACGACAGCGACCTTATATATTTGAGAATAAGGAAGATAGATACATCATTCGACGCAGAATTTCATGCTCTTTAACTTTGAATACAGTGATATTTTTCGTCCGCTGAGTCGTTTGCAAGATATGACCGGAAAACCGAAAAAACTCGTGCTATTAGGCAGCAAACTTCAGATTCGCTTACGGGCGCCTAGAAACATAAATGATCCCGCTGAGAAACCTTCTACCGGATTCTATTTACGAGACAAGCACTATTGAACACCATTTGATCAGGCTATATGGGTCCTGATAAAAAGTTTGTTAAGTTAGCAAAAAATCCGCTTGAACATTGTGATATTTCACTCATATCACTTGAAGGTGTGGACTTATGTGTAAAAATCCTGTGCAAAAAATCACTTCCATCAATATTCTTGTATTTTCAGGTACAATTTGAAAATCATGGGTCTGATGGTGACAGATTCAGGAATTTTTCAGTGTTTTGCCTCAAATGAGGCTGGAAATATACAGGCTGCTGCTAGTTTGAGGGTACAAAATAATCCAGGTATGTCGAATTTCTTGTTATCAAATCCTTGTATTTCTGTTGAAAATTATTTAAATCCTATTACAAAAAAAATGGAAATTTATTTATTTATTTATTTATTAGGAGAATATCATACATGTCAGCCTATATGTATATAATAGTGATAAACAATTTTTTTTTCTGGAAACATGATGAAAAAAGTTAAAAACTTGTGCATGAGGATGTAACCTGAAATTATTTTTCTAATTGAGAACAATTCACGTAATAAATACATAATATCTGAAACTAACTATAAAAACATATAGGTAATATAATGTATATTCACTACACTGTTTTATCACCAACCAAACCGGCTAGTGGTAAAGCAGTGTAGTGGATTATCGTACCAAAGGTTCCAGTCTTTAATATATAGTATGATGCAAATGTATGGAATAAATTCATTATTTCAGAAATGGGCGACATTTGAAAAAAATCCAAAAACACGTGAGTTTTAATTTCTGAAGCCTCATCTCATGATATTCATATGAGAGATGTTACGTCACCGGTGTTGGAGTAATGACGTAATGGACGATTCTTTCAAATACAAATAGGGGTCATGTGACACCTTGATTGAAAGGTCTACCGATCGTCTATTCAACAGTCAAAATGTTGCATAAGAAGATTGAAATTAAAATGGATTATCATGTGATTAATTGAATCTTGCAGAGGTCTGCTACTGAGAATTGAACATCGAAGGGTCGTCTAGTTAAAAAAATACGTCGAAAAAAAAGTTCTAAACTCTAGTTTTTGTTTTTTTTTCGAAAGTCGTCTTGTTTTGAAATGAATTTATTCCATACATTTGCATCATACTGTATATTATATCTTATTCAAATAACTTTCCAAATTTTTCGAATTCTCAGTTATGGTTTGTAATAGTTTTCTATTTAGGGTTCGAGATTGAATTGCTTTAATTATTCTTTCTATTAGATCTATTATGTTTGGAATGACTTTAGAGCATGACAATACTTTTGAGTCACTATTTTGGTAGAATATTTTTCAAAATATATTGGCCAAGTTCCATTCTTTCATTTTGAAATCCTGTATATTTTTATTTAATTTTCAAAGTTATGTTAGTTTTTATATTTTATTCAAAATTCATAATCCAAAATTTTAGTGAGGAAAAGTATATCTAAGTCAATCACATTTACCTTGACTTGAAATAGTTGAAATATTTTTCTTTGAATTCAAGCATTATTTTCTGATTTCATATTTTTAATGAACATAAATATTCTCTGAATTCAGGATTTTTTTCAATATCAGGTGTCATTTTTCTTGGCATTAAAACCTCGAATTTAAGAAAAACTACGGATTAGCAGAAACAAATATGAAATTTAAGGAAAAGTGTTAGGTAAATAGGTAATCCAAAGAATTAAATCGATTCAAAGAATACGTTTCGAAATTCACATTTTGAATTCAAATAATTGTTGTTGAGCTCACAGAAAAAAATCTTATTCAAAAGAATGAATTGCATTTTTATAAATATGATTGAAATTTTCAAAAAAGATGTTTTATTCTAAAGAAGTAAATCTAAAGCAAGAAACACTCTGAAGTCAATTCTTTGGAGTCAGAGAAATGAAGCTCACATTGAAAAATCAAGTCTGTATTCAAGGCAGAAGGCTCCATGAGCCAGGATCCAATGAATGATTGAAAAACACAAGTCAAAATTCAAAGACATGAATTGAATTAAATTTATCGAATGTCCTCACCGAAATTTAAATTCACCCAATTTATTATTTCGTTTATTATTTTCTAATTTCGATTTTATTTTTTCTCTCCTTCCCGATCATCCTTCCTTCTCCCTCCCAATTTTTGCACGCTCGTCGCATGCCACCCACCTAACGCAGAACCGAAAAAGCCGAAACCCCACCCCCCGAAAAAGGTCCCTCCCCAACAGTCCAAGTCTCTATTCTCGTCCCTGCGCGGCGAATCCGACGCGGCTAACGGGGAGGGGCTAGGCGCGGCCGACTACGCCCACCTGTTGCCGCGAACGGAGGGTGCGGCCTCGTTCGACGCGCACGCCGCCTTCAATTCGCTGAAGAGCAGCGGTGCGGGAGGGGGAGGGGGCGGGGCGCAGTTCGCGTTCACCGTCCGACCCGTTTCAGCGGCCGGCGACGAGGGGCGGGGCGCGGTCGATGGGGTGCCTGGCCCGCCCAGGGAGCTGAGGGCGGCCATCGTGAAGGGCAGGTTTGTCGTGCTGAGCTGGCGGCCGCCCGCGGAGAACGGCGAGGATATACAGGCGTACGCGGTGTACTACCGGCAGGAGGGAAGCGACAGGTGAGGAGAGTCGGAAGGGTGATCAATTATGAACATTAATTACTATGAATTTTGTACAGGGTATCTCCGTATGTTTTGACCCCTACAAACAGCTTTAACTATACGAGGTGTAAAAAAACTTCAGATATGAAAGTTATCGAATTCCATATGTACTATCTTTTAGCACTCCTTAAACAAATTCGCTTCTGGAAACCTAAGTCTTCAGAATCATGTCATCGAAAACAAGACGTCCACCAAATTCTTGGGATTATGGATTGATAATACCCTGAAGTTTGATGAACACATACAATATCTCAACAAAAAACTTGTATCAGGCTGTTATGCTGTCAGGATCATTACCGATGAGTTGGTACTAGTAACAAGCAAAACAACATATTTTTCATTAGTTGAGTCGCATCTGAGATATGGTATCGCTTTTTGGGGTTTCTGTAGTAAGCAGTTGATACAATCTGTATTTGTTCTACAGAAAAGGGCGGTTAAATATATATCTGGAGCTAAGCGTTTGGATCACTGTAGACCACTGTTCATCAAGAATAAAATATTAACAACAGTAACAACAGTATGTCTCATACAGAAAAGAAAAGACAATTTTCCTTCAGAAAATAAATATGACACTCGGCAAAAAGCCAATATACCTCTGCCGAAACCAACTTCAACGATGACCAAAAATTCAATTATATTTGAGAGTCGGAAGATCTTCAATCATCTACCAGCTGAAATGAAAAGTATGACAGACTTGGAAGCATTTAAAAATGACGCCATTTTTAAATTTTGTGCATGAAATTTTGTGTTGTCAATTAAAGAATAGTTAATTTGATATCCCGAAACAGTTTCACCTTCTTAAAATAGTCTTCAGCAATGAGCATGCGCGATGATGGGAGTGGCGTGCTTTATTAGGAAGAATGGGAAGAAATTAGATGAAAATGAAATAAAAATGAGAAACAAATAAGAGGCGTCGTCCGACGCCTTGGCCGTCACACTATATTTGAGTTTTTCATCATGGATGTGTACTTCATTCAGATTATGTTCCATAGAATGTGAGAATTTTCTCAATCTTATTCGACTTAAACATCCTATTTCGCTCCGTATAGCATCGGAAATGTCCATCTTGTTGTTTCAAATATTCCCTTATATGGTTATATCGACACCATTCTTGAAAATTTTTGCTTACAGATCCTTTGGTTAATTCGTTCTAGAAAGTAATATGCTATTGGATGGATCATCGTGATGGAATTATGAATATTCACAATCACTTTTCGTCCAGAAGCAACCTAATATTTTATGTTAATCACCTTGATAAATCAACTCCTCGACAGAAAACGCCATTTCACCATGACGTGAGTCATTTTGACATCGATAAAATTGGATGCACCTTTTTTTATTGCTGTAGAAATGCCTGTTCCTCAAACCCATACTTCATCTAGTATGCATTCGTCACTATATTTCTCTCGTGTTAAGTATGACTGTTGGTTATTGTTCACACGAAAATTCGTAAGATGAGCAGTTTTCGGAAAATTTTGTCTGAAGACACCACAAAAAATATAAGAATATCAATTCCGCAAACTTAAAAAAAAATCAGGATATCCTTGATAATGATTGTTGTTTATTTATATATTATCGTTGATTTATCTTGCCAAAAATCACTCGAACTTTTCTTTTCATTGGATGAATTTCCTTACTCAGTAATTTCACTCGAAAAACTGACTTAACCGTAGGTGTCAAATTTTGTTCCGTTAGAAAGAGAAATTTATTCGATAAAAAAAGCTCTTATGTTTTCACTGTTGATGAAATATCATTTTATCGATTTTAATTTTTGAATTCCACGCGTACTTTTGACATTTCATTCTCAGATTTTGCGCATGACATTTTGTTCATGTTGCAAATAAAAGAATAGTTAATTTGATATTTCAAGTTAGTTCCAAATTGGACCACATTTTGCGTAAAATGCAAATACAACGCGCAATAATTGGAGTGGGATGCTTTCTTGGCGCCAATTATGAGAAAAAATCCGAAGAAAATGAGAAAAAATTATTACACTTTCATCCACATAGGGAACGTTTCCAAAACACCACCCGCTCCAAACTGGAAGAAATAAACATAGCGGGCCTGACGCCCGGCCGAGTCTATCGTTTCCGCGTCGTCGCGTACGGTCCTCGAGGCGTCGGAGTGTCCTCCGACACCGTGGCCGTCACGACGCAGAGCGAGGAGCACGTGGCCAGCGCCCCCTTGGCGTTCGACGCGTACGCCACCGGGCCGAGGAGCGTGCGCATCAGCTGGCGACCGCCCGATACGCCCAACGGGCTGGTGTTGCGGTACACCGTCTACTACATGGAGGTGAGTGGGATGGATGTCTTATAGCGAATTCCATTCGTAAACCTGGTGGTGCACTAGTTTTGCACCAGTTTTGCAGTGGCACTACCTTGGTTTTCAAGAAAATGTGAACTGGTGCATTCCCAATGGGATACGAAATAACATGATGATCAAATAATTGTTAGAGGCTAGATTGGTCTAGAGTCACTGGATGGTATTAGTTTGATAATAGTTCGGACACAGCTAAACTTTGAGTGAATTAAAGAATGAGACATATATATTGGATCTTTCTTTTATTTTATTCAGACCAGGGAAGAGTCCCTCTTATCCTGATATCTATTATGGAACAAAATAAAAACGGTATTGAAGTTTGATGCGAACAGCCCTTCTGCCCCAAATCAGTTTCAGAAATACATTCTAAGAATTGAAAGAGATCGAACGGAAAAAAAATAAATATCAAAAACTTGAGAATAGTAAATTTGGTCATAATGTCGATATTTTCTCTAGTTTATGGACAATCTCGGTCTTTTGAACTTTGATTGATCACCTGGGTCATAATCAACTGCATTTCGAAGAAGCTGATTCTCATGAACCTCAGCTTTTTCGAAAGTCTTGATGTTTCGTTCTTTAATGACTGACACGATTGAAGGGAGTTTCAGATCCCTGGCGATCTGGTTATTCCGAACATACATACCAAGGAGATCCTGTCACCATTCTCGCGACTTTGTTTTGTAATGTTTGTAATCTGGTGATATGAGATTTAGACATATATTCTGTTCTTTATCTTTTCAATTTCCCTAGTAGCGCCTGATTGTCAGATACGCTTTTAGAGGTTAGATTTTCTGTCAAATCAATCATTGTCGTAGATGGAAAATAGGAACAGGGTATAAACACCCACTTCTATTTATATACTGATACACTTTTTGCAGAACTATAGTTATAAAAATGAAAAGGATTCATGTAACATCTTAATATGACAAAATAGACACATATTATGAATAATAAAACATGAAGATTGTTTTGCACTTCCACCTTTTGCTGCATTCCCTTTTTACTGATAAATTTTGAATTTGGTCGGTACTGAAAACGCCATTCAATGATATTATATCACGTTGCAATTCACTTGATTTCCTCAGTTTCTTTCTCAAATTTTCAATTTCATTATGTAGTTTTGCAATCAATCCCTCTTTTTCTGATGATTTTCTTCTGCATTTCATCTGATGATAACATTTGTTTTTTTAAGTAGTCTGTTTTGTAAATCTTCTGTTTGAAAATGAACCTAAAAGTATGTTTCACTCCAATCTGCTGTTATAAGAAGTGAATTTTAATGTACTTACCTCACAAATGTTTCTTGTCTTCAAATTAATTTTCCATCCAAGCCGGTTCGAACATTCCTTCCATATGAGAATGGTTGATATTTTTTCCTTTGGAAAATCAAATGAATGAAATCCATAAGGGAATGGTTGATATTTCTTTTGAAAAATTGAAGAAATTAAATAGCCATTTTCCTCAAAATTCTTGAAATTCATTACACATCCGGAGCTTTCCATTCATGCTATTTTTCTCAATAGATTTTGGGAAGTAATCTCCTCTCATCCCTTAAAACCTCCAACTCTTCATCCCCACTTGTTGATAATGATGATGATGATGATGATAGGCAACATATAGGGAATATATGGTGTAAGAACATATATGCTTTGCCCTATGTTTATGATTTAAGATTGCCACTAACAATTTGCTTTTCAAACTTTTCATATTCAATGATCTTTTCGACATTTTCAAAACCAATGGTTTTACCATTGGGACGCATTATATGCACTCGGTGCACACCAGTTTTCCCAATGGGATTCGCTATAAATTTACAAAAAGCCTAAAACGAAATTGTCAAGCAAGTACATTGAGGAACTCTAGTCTCTATATGTCGTGAACTTTCATCGAGAAAAGCGAGATAGAAAGGAAATTAACTCGTTGTTTTAACGATTCCAGACGAGTGCCTCGATCGAGCACAACGTCGACACTATCGACCTGACCTACGAGTTGACCGGGCTGGCGCCGTACACGGAGTACAGCGTGTGGGCGGTGGCTGTGAACGGGAACGGGGCGGGCGCCGCCACCGAGGAGCGGACGGTGCGCACGTTCGGCGCCCAGCCGTCCGAGCCGCCCATCAACGTAACCACGGAGCCGTCGAGCACAGTAAGTTTGTGTCTAGATTCATATAATTATCTAATGATGTTTGCTTGAATAGATCCGGCTCGAAGGACCAATATGTTCGATGCTTCGAGCACCGAAAGTTTCTGTCTAGATTCATATTATTATCTATTGATTTTCGCTTGAATAGATCCGGCTCGAAGGAGCAATATATTCAATGCTTCGAGAACCGCAAGTTCGTGTCCAGATTCATATTATCTATTCACATTCGCTGGAATAGATCCGGCTCGAAAGGCCTATTGTTTTGATTATGTCGATTGTTTTGTTCTTTGCACAAATACATACAGAATGTTCTGCAGCGAATTTTTCAGGACATATACAGATCATTATTCGCGGTATAAATTAATTATGCCATATTGTATTCTTCCTAATACCCATACCAAGTTGATAAGATCCATCAGTTTTCAATAGGTAAGTGAAATTATCACATCAAAACAATAGAAATATTGAAATATGTGAATCCACATACAGGGTGCATGGAAATATGTCTCAAACAAATGAATAGGTAGGTACATGAATAAAGTAAGGACCTTTGAATATACACTGGCCCGTTCCACAGGCATAAAAATGCAGACAACGACTATGAAATGGAATGAAATGAGTTGACGAACTGCAAAATTTTCATATTTCGATATGAAAAACTGAAAATATTCCGTTTTTAGCTATTGATATTCACGAATCCTTCAATGCAGCTTCAGAAATTCAGTAGTTAAATATCATGCGGAAACATAAAAAGTACACAAATCAATTCAACATTTTGTGCTCTCTTCAGATATGTAAGCGGATTTTGTAAATTCAAACATACAGGGTGTTTTTTCGAGGTCCCAATAATATGTTGAATTTTTTCAATCCAAGAGTGGAATTTTTTTCTGACGAATAAACAAGTCGCTGGGGTAGCAGTGGGAAAGCACGTCTACCAAATATTAAAAAATTATACCAGGTGATTCGTATGCTATGAGCCTTCAAAGAAATGACCAGAATCGATAAAACACTATATCTCGATAATGAATCATGTGAGACCCAACATATATGGTATATTCAGAATCACCTTGGTCACCTCTATTCACCGTTATAGTATTCCCGTTTCCCAACGGAACACCCTGTATATATATCCATTTTTTGTGTTCATAAATATATCTGAGAATGTCCCTTTTCAATACTTTCACCCAATCAAGGGGTTCAAACTTGACCGATGGAAACTCGGTATTTTTATAGACCTCAATCGCAGATTCGTGATTAGGTTTTCTCAATTCAGAATTTCTTTCCACATCCTGTATAATGAATATCAATTTATCATACATCCAAAAATGATGAATATTATTAATTTATTCATTCACTTATTTATTTATTCAATAATACATCCAGCAGGCTTACGCCCATTTACAGGTGTACGTATAATACAAATTATTGATAAATTAGGAATCGTTAATATCAAACAAGAATTAGTAATAGTAACATCGATTCTAAAAGAAACATGATATTATCATTATCGATCATCCGCAGAACATCACGGTGCGCTGGGAGCCGCCGCCTCCCGACTCCCAGAACGGCGTCATCTTGGGCTACAAGATCAAGTGGCGCCGAGCGGGCGGCGGGCGAGGCACCGCCAGCGGCAAGGGGGGCGGCGGCACGCACACCGCGCAGCCGGCCTCCCGTCACTACGTCATCGAGGGGCTGGACAAGGGCGCGGCCTATCAGGTGCGGTTGTGGGCGTCGAACGTGAACGGCACCGGGCCGGGCAGCGAGTGGGCGGACGTGCGGACGTTCGAGGAGGACGTGGAGGAGGGCAGGGTGCCCGAGCAGCCGTCGTCGCTCAGAGGTGAGTTTGGATGGAATCGGGGGGGAGGGGGGAGGGGGTTGACCTCAGAGTAACTTACTAAACTACTTATCAGATGAAGTGGGACAGCCAAAAAATTGACTAATTTTGATAAGCTTTTTATAAAATTTATAAATGATGAAGAAATAGTGGGAATCAAGTGGTTACAGGTAGAGTCACTGGATGGTATTAGTTTGATAAGAGTTCGGACACAGAAATGACAACTGTTAGGGTTTTTGAATGTTTAGATTCATTAAGTTACACACCTTGCATTGTGACAATAGCACCATAGTCGTCCCGTGCTTTTTATTCAAAATTGTTTGAATTTGACAATAAATTTAATGAACGTCAGATTTGAAATAAAATTTAATAATTATACTCTCAAGAAAAAAGCAGCAATGGAAATCACTTGCTGTGTAATAAATTGTGCCAAATCTGATAAAAATGGATATCATTTATTCCATTTTCCAAAACAAATATCAACCATTCGCTTATGGAAGGAAGATATGAAACGGCCTGGGTGGAAAATCAATTTCAAGACAAGCGAAATTTGTGAGGTACTCATTAAAATTCACTTCTTATAACAGCATCTGATCAGAATGAATGAATATTTCAGGTCCAGTTTCGAAGAATCTGATATTCCATGAATTTACAAAGCAGACGATTCCATTATTATCATCAAACAAAATACAGAACAAAATAATTATGGAAAGAGGAAATGACCGTGAAATTACATAATAAAATTGGAAATTTGAAAACAAAACTAAGAAAGGCAAGGAAACTACAACGTGATATATTATTGAATGCGTTTTTGGTGCCGATCAAATTCAAAATTCAATAGTGAAAAGTGAATAGTTATTTATGTATCAAGGGAATTATTATAACGGCCTTAATTACGCTGGAGGTTATCGTTTAGCTTCTAGGGCGCTAAGTGAAGTTGCTGAGAACTTTACAGAAAAATGTATTTGGTTGGTCTCGTCAAAATAAACTACTTTTTCCAAGGAAATGTTTATCGAAAAATGATTTGTTCTCTGTGTTTCAGCACCCAGTATCTCCGAAATGAAACATTTCCGGACTTTATTTCTTAAAATTGTCTCAGGGATACTTCACTTGAACGTATTTATTTTACTTCCTGTGCATTGAGAATACCTACCTTTGATAGTACAGTTTGACATACAATAAGGATTTATAGCTATAAGTTTATCCATATGTGTATATTTTCTAATATTAAAACGTTGGTACATGCATTCTTCTCATTTATATAACAGTTGTTCTGCTAGAAGTGTATCACTATAAATTGAAGTGGGTGTTTGTACCCTATATCCATTGTCTATCTACGGCTATGATTGATTTGACAGAAAATATAACCTCTGAAATCGTATCTGACAATCAGGCGCTTCTAGGGAAATTGAAAAGACAAAGAGCAGAATATATGTCTTATTCTTTCATTCACCTAAACCATTGTATTATAGAAAATAGAAAAGGACAAAAGTTCAGCTGTGTCCGAACTCTTATCAAACTAATACCATCCAGTGACTCTAGTTACAGGCACGGTAGCTCTTGTGTCTGGTGGCTAAAAGGGTGGTTTGACTTCACTAGTTTACTAGACTCTTAAATATTTTCCGGTAGGCGCCACCCAGTTTGTTTTACTTGAACTGGGAAACTGAAGTTATGCCAAGATTTATATATATTCAAGAGTATAAGGAGGTATTCAATATGCTGAAAGAGAAATACATAAATAAGGACACAATAGATGAACTTTGAAGCCAAGTTTGATTCCAAAAAAGATTCCTTCAGAATTGAAAGGGTTTTCCAGGTAGTTCATCAACATACATAAAGCATAAACTATGTGCTACCTCTATAAAACGCTAGCAAATTATTCTAGATACAAGATAATTTCATGGACATCTCTTTACTTATTCAAATGGTACCCTCTTCATATATTGGCCAATATAGTCTGAGTTCACACTGTGTCTGGAGACTAATAATACCTCATAAATTGCGAATATCTACCTGATACTAACACACTCCTTGTACTAAGAAATCTGAATGATATATTATAATGTAGGAAAATGAATTGAGTGGAAAATATGCAATCAACTTAATGGATGGATCTGACCTTAACTTGGAACATCCTGGAATCTTCAAAACAGGAATCCTCAACGAAACTTCTGGCCTCAGAAGTTATTCATTCTCTACCAATTGCAGGCGTGGGTTAACATGGGGCTTTCGGTGGTTAACATCCTGAAGTGACCCCAAACAGAATATTGTGGTGTCCCAGTTTTGGTTTCTGCAGCTCTCAAATGGTGTCCCTAGTGCCAGGTACTCCTCAACAGCCCACCAGGATGAATATTTAGAATGAACCACACCAGAGGATTCAGATTCAAAAGGGGAAAGGGGCTCTTCCTTCAGCCAATGGCAATAGCTGCCCGGTTGATGAATGCCAACAAATCTACAAAATAAAAACTCCAAAGCCTGTAGAGAAAATAACCCCTTGAAATTACCCAAAAATATCTTACCTTCCCGAAGGAATGGCCCAAAGTAAAATAGTGGAGACGATCACTCTCCAAAGGTTGGAAAACCAAAAGAAGAAATTTGATTTCTACATTGTGGAGCTTCACTCTCCGAGACCGAAAAGAGAAGGGTGAGGTAAAGTTGAGAATCAACTCTAGGTTGCCAGATCAAACATTCAGGAATATTACACTGTTGCCAGTCCTCGCAAAAGTATTCTGACGACAGAATTGCACTGATCTGCACCGGGAGAACTGATTGTACTGAACAGACCGAAATGAATAACGCAAAGGAAAACGATGCACCAGTGGATCGTTGTTACTCCGTCAGGGCGTCATCTCGGAACGTACCAAAATAGTTGACACAATTGACTTCCTACAACCGACTGTCTACTGTCTGAATTCTATATCGACAGTGTTTACAATCATTCTGACAGGACTGCTAAATTTACATATTTTCCACCAGTATGAGGAATTACCCCGTTGTAATTCAGTTATGAAGATGGTTCATATAATCTGGATAAAGCAAAAAAGTAGATATAACAATACAGAGTGTTAACTATCAAGAAGGCAAAGATTCTTGTTACAAGCTATAACTCGAACATTCCTTGGCCGATGTTGGATTTTTAACCAAAGGTAGAAAGCTTCATCCCTGGGCTTTGCGTCATTGGCGCCGGGTTTTTATTTTTGCGATTCGTTCTCTTTGTACAGAGTGTGAATTGAGAGTCGAAAAAATATCAAATTTTTGACCAATAATTTTGGGAAATGTGAGGGACCCTACAATTCTCTTTGAAACTAGGGTCCCTTGATTCAAACTGACGTATTTGTCATCTAACAGGGTACGGACAGATCATAGCTCCTTTCTCTTTCAATCATCTAGTGACTTTGGTTTCGTGTGTTGGTGTCCCTGACATGACATTACTGTCACGTCACATTCCTAGGCGTTAAAAGAGATCTTACAAAATTTTAATTTCATTCTTGATCTTAATAAGACATTATTCAATTCTGTTTTGGAAGAATGTGATGCGTTAGGCTGTATCAATCAGTTGGATGGCAAATTTGAATTTGTCAGCTTTCCATCAAATGCAAATAAACTTAGAACATGGAAAGTGAAGTGACCAAATTTGGAAAATTGGTATATACATCAGCAGAATATTCCAGGTAAAACTAATACGAAATCACTCATTATACTTTCTCATTGTGCCTATAATTATCCACTCCACAAGTTTTGAATACATTTTGGTAAACAGTTTTGATTAAAACGGAGGATTAAAAGAATTTGAAAACATACCTACATTCAGGAAATATTAAGTGTTCGTGAAAAACTGCAAAAATGATTCCCAACATGAATATATACAGCACACATGACATGTGAGCACATTAGTTTGAATACCTACATAACATTTTTCTCCATTTCACAACCATAAGGCTTAGTCTCAATTCAAAATTCATTTATTGATAGGTACTGCATGAGAACAATTTTGGTAAATCGTATTGAACTTTCAGAAAAATTTGCTCACTCACACAAAGAACATGCTGGTGTTGAAAAATCAAAAACTCGAAAATTATCATCATTTGGATATATGTAGAGTTGAATGAGAAATTACATGTGGAAATTACGTATGATACGCCAATGTTCTCAATATAACCTAAAAAACAACAAATGTCAGAAATCTAGTGTTTATCCCCAGTAATGAATGAAGATGGAACTATATAACTGTTTCACAAACACTTTGGAGAGGAAACGAGGATCTGTCCGTACCCTGTTGAGATGACTAATACGTCAATTTTCATCAAGGGACACTACTTAAAACGAGTGATTCATTCTACTTATATCTTCTGCAGAGACGACAATTCATTTTAAGGACCTCTGTGGAACCGCGGCCAAATTAATAATTCAGGAGAATTTTCTGGATAAAACACCTCATTCAACTCCGCTTCAATAGCTAATAACAAAAATATAACAACCTTTATAAAATATTAATACACCCATCACAACGTAATTGTTAGAAATTCACAACTAATAATCATAAACTTATTAGTTATTGTTAAGTAATTAACAAAATAAAATATATAATTTATCTAAAGATGAACGTTGCGGCATCGCAAAGTTTCCTAGTAGACGAGCAACAATCGTAGTGGAAAATAGCATATATCATGTTTGTTGTTATAAATGGTTTTCGGGCTGTTGTGTAATTAGTTTTCGATGTTTCAGTAACTCATTTAATATCATCTAAGTCTGAATCAGACTATTTTGTAAATAAATATGTTTTGGCAGTGTCGAATCTGTAAAGAAAAGTTAGTTACAAATATTCTAATCTGATGATTCATAGATACGTAGAAATTTGTTCCAATAATGGTCTTGTTTAGGGGCTTGCTTCTGTTGTAGAAACGTTTGTTCGAAATATTCAAAATATCAAATCCCGATTTATTATATCTATGAAGAATATCAATAATCTGACAATGAATCTTTTTTTTTCTATGTTCTGGTTCCCACGAAAAGGGATACCCATTCGCCATTTCATTAATTTCTCCTTGTTTGGGGTTTAGGACTGTAGGCGTTATGAATGAATCGCTTGATTTGAGGCTATTGTAGATTCCTCTGTATTATGATGTTGAGATATCGGGTTGGCATATTTCATAATAAGTGTTGATAACAAATGTAACACATTTGTTTTATTATTTCTTGTTATGTATATATTTATTTTCATGAATGAATGACATTCCTTCAATTCAGCCACATTATTACAGCTTTTTCAGAGTTATTGATTTTTTTTTTCAGTACGTCCTACTTTCGACACACTGTACGTGATGTGGGCCCCACCCTCTAACCAGAACGTACGGGTCAGAAATTACATTCTCGGTTGGGGAAAAGGCATCCCCGATATGTTCGTTCACGAACTTGAAGAAAAAAACAGGACTTACGTCATTGATAGATTGGGTGAGAAGAAATATTTGTTTATCCTTCTAAAGTCTGTTATTGCCAAGTGATTCATTTTTAGTTACATAATTTCTAGAAATAGTGTGTGTATTGAGGTTTACATCAATTGGAAATTCAAAGTCATGAAAAGTTCATGATTTGAAATTATTTCGAAGTGATGTCGACAATTTTTCCTATTGTTTGGCTATACTTGTTGAATTTGATATTCTTTAAAGATTTAGGCAACAGGTAAAATTTAACTCTCAGTCATGAACTCTAGCTAAAATCTAATTCTGATTTCAGTTTTTTCCCTCGTTTAATAATTAAGTATTTTTTTATTATTCATGGTCGCCAAGGTCATTTGATGACTTTGCGATGACATTTGAAACTACGGGAAATTGTAATTTTCCAAACAAGTGCGGAAAGTTATACTTTCCCCCACGTGACTGCCGTCTATTCAAATGGGGACAACTGAAAAGGGTAACATATTTTCAATCTACTAATTATTTGTAATATTGATTGTGAATGTACAATTTGTTGCATTATGAACGTTAATCGCAGAAGCCAGCATATACCGGGTGTCAACGAATCTATTAGACAACTCATAACTTCTAGGTGTATCATGCGAGACAATAGACCGTTTTTTTGCCGAAGTGCATATTACATTTTTTCGTCGTCCTCAGACACTTATAATATTCACATCACGGTCCTATTCACCCGTGAAATCTATCGGATTTTGTAAATGATTAATTTGTCAACAGTAAAGCAAATGACAGTTGTTGTCAACTCACTCTCTGTGCGGACCAGGGTTGCCAGGTTGATTTTTATTCCATCAGTAAATACCTTGTCAAAAATTCAGTAGATTTCATTAGGTCAGTTTGAGATCCAAGAAAGGATAATGGAATAAAACTATGACGTCAAAACATTATGTACTTCTAGTTATCAGAAAAGTAACCTATTTCCAACAAAATAGAAACAAACAAAACGAACATTCTCATACAAAAATATAATCATATTCCTAATTCCTAATTCAGAAATACTCACAACTTTCCCAAAATACAGTTACATAATAATATGTACTTATAAAAAACAGGAACAAGTAAAAATGAACAACAAAAATACAAAACAAATAATGAAAATTGAACGTAAGAAGCAAACTGTCAGATAAAGTATTGTCCTTTTTCTGTTTCATATAATATATCATTAGTACCTATATGTAAATTTATTAGTTATTTTGTATAATTAATTTGAACCGAGCATTCCGAAATATCCTGCAATTTTTAAGTGTATGTGATTAACTAAAGATTAATAATAATATAGGTAATTATAATTGTCTCCCCATCGTTATATGGAAATATATCGAAACAAAATACCAACCACTTTAGGAAGGCCTCCATATATATTTTATTTAAAAACACTCACCATCTTGAAAAAATACAACTTTCACACACTCAAATCAACGTACTATCACTAAGCCGAATATGAATCCCACTTTTCCACTCTTGAATACTTCGAGTTCTTTTGTTATTATCACGTGAATCGACCGTATGCGATGAAGTCAAGAACGAGACTGCTGATTGATTCGATTCATCATTCAAATGACTAATTTGTTACGTCATCCTTTCAACCGATTAATTCCCGAACAAGTATGACTAATAACGATATCGATAGTAGGTATAAGTAGTGGAGTGAAAATAAATTTAAGGATATTTTCTTTCATTTTCTTATCTATACGAGGTGTTTTTGAAATGTTTTCATCTATCCAGCAATTCAATGAAATATAGCAGGAAGGATATTTTCCTCATGTATATACTTTTTGGAAATTCGAATAAGCCTATTTTCAATGTTATTTTTGCCTTTTTTCAATGTAAATTTTGTCATGTAGCGAAAGTCACGTGACCCCGACCGACTAGTCCATTTTTCATATTTTCTGAAGCAAAAATTAACACCCAAGTCTAATTTCGAAATGAATTATTCTTGAAAGTTTTTCCCATATGATACCGACTTGGTGAATACAGGTACAGGGTGTCCCACTTAGGGATTTATCCTCGTAATCCCCAACATATTTTGGTTTTCCAAAAACTTTTCTGAAATAATTTTTACGAATGTTTTGAATCTGTGCTCACCTTTGCTTTATATCAACAAAATGCAGGGTTGTTCCGAAGAAATCTTTTTTTTCCAAAGAAATGATCTATATTTTTTCCATAATTCGTCAAACTGAATTCAAAAGTACATATCAATTATCAATATCATTAGCGAATGAAATTTCTATCATTAGATTAAGTTGGACATGTTTTCTCGTAGTTTTTAATGGGATGGCAACGTCATCATTGATTGATGAGAAATTAACATGGGAAAAGCATATTAACATCCTCATAGGAAAAGTATCTCCCATTTTTGGTGCTTTAAGAAGATTTCCTAAACTTCACATATACTCAGTCGAATTAACTATCTCATGAATATTTGGGGATTTTGTTCTAAGAATAGTTTCAACAAAATTCCGTTCTATATAAAAAGGCATTGAAAGTATCGTATTGTCTTCCATATGATACTCCAACGAATCAACTGTATAAGGAAACAAACACATTTTCTTCGGAAGAGCACTTTTTAATAAATACTCTCAAAATTTCCTATTATATCATCAACAAAAAGCCTAAATCAAATTTTATATTAATTAGGAATTCCGAAATTCATGATCATCACACTAGACAATATAACTTGTTTCATCTTGAAGCTACATTCTAAACTTGGACAAAAAAAGTTTACACATGAGGCGATTTTGAAATTCAATAAATTACCAGATGATATCAATAACAGCCCAATTATACCACAGTCGATAATACTTCATGAATGATCTTATACCAGGAATTACTGTCTGATCATTCATGTCATTCCTACTAAAAAATTAATTATACTTTATATATTATTTGTATGAAATGTATCAATGAAGGAAAGAAGGTAATGCAATAACTGAATTAAATAAATTTAAAAAAAATCTAATGACCTTGGCGATTGCGAATGAAGAAAAAATGAGCACAGATGAAAAAATGGTAAAAAAGTATTGAAGGAAAAGTTCTTGAATGATCAAAATATGTTGAGAATTACTAGGATGCCGGGGGGGGTGACACATTTAAGTGGGGCACCCAGTACATTAGTGAGTTTATTAAAAAGTTTTTAACTTTTCGACTAGCAACAGATAACTCGATGCAGAATAGAGAAAAGTTATGCTCGTTTTATAAGACAAATTAGTATCTTGCACAACTCGCACGACGACTTACCATTCCAGAGCCCAACTCCGAGTACGTGCTGAGCCTGCGCGCCAGCAACCAGATGGGCCCCGGCCCGCCCATCTACACCACCGTCCGAACGCAGGACGAACCGCCACCCGAACCGGCCGTCACCCTCTATCCCCCCATGGGGCTCAAGGCGCAAGTGCTGAGCCCCACATCGGTGGTGCTGTACTGGACGGACCCTTCCTTGAAACAAAGTCAGGTGAGAATCGTTGTGGAATGTAGAATGCATTGTTCAACAATGGCATACATTTACGTGAATAATGTGTATCGACCTTCATTTCTGCGGCCCTTAATTTGACGCTCTGTTCAGGACGGATACTACTCTGGTATTGACGGGAGGGGAGGTCTAGAGCGCCAGATTGTTTTTGAGGTAGTTTACTCTACCCGCTCTGCACAAAATATTTTTGTACAGAGGCCCAAAGTAGCAACAGTGGAGAAAGGTACAGGAGGTATACCTACCTCGGTACCTACAGTATAAACCAGGGGTCAATGTTATTGAATCGACCAGGAATTAATAAGGAGCCATGGGAGTGTAGGCTTTAATTACAAACCCTGGGTTTAGCCTGGAATACTGGTTGCTATTTTTATTCTGGATAATTACAGGAATCAAAGCAAATATCCTTCGGGTCTCTGGTATTTTTAGGTTAGGAATGGATAATTATTTATTCAAACTATTTCATTAAGTCTACCTGGAGAATCGAAAACACAGTTCCAAATGAATTAAACAGATTCAATTCCTATTCATCTTTCCTTTTCCTTCGCTTTTCTAATTTTCCAATATCGTAATATTAGTGAGGTTAATTATATTTTCCTATACATGTCAAAATTTCATTAACCACCGGCCACAGCTTGACAGGATACCAAGCACAGGGACACGGATGCACAGGACAGGATATCTCAAGGAAAAAGAAGAAGAAGAAGAATTGACAACTGGCTTGTCAGTGTCAGTCGTCAGTCAATAATAATAATCTGCAATTTTGACAAATGAAAATATTGAATATCATTAAATAAATTATTGGGACCATTCGGAACTGAAAACAATGACAACAGAGAAAGAAATATGGAATATGCAATCACAAAAATACCGTTTATTCGTAAATACAACTTTCTGGATTCGTTACACAGGGTAGGTGAGTATCGGTAGAAAAAACAACAGGAATGAAATGGAGCTATAAACAGGATGAATACTAATATTATTCGATAGTTCACATTAAATTTGGACTGAAAAATCTAACCTCAAAAAAGTTGTTTAAAAGTACTTGGTATGAACCGTGTAACTAGCGCCCTCTATGAGTGTCAGATATAAAAACAAATTAATGCGATGTGTCAGTTTTCAAAACACATCAGTTGCGTTTTATTTATCCGATTCCGCCACCGGAATCAGTTTCATGTGTCGTTTTATTTGCAACTTTTCCGATTCCGTTTGCTACTTCTCATTCCGTCTCACTACAAGGAATGATGTGGAATGACTGTTGACAGGTGTCAAAAAATCAAATTATATTGACGAAAATCGAAACTTTTTGAAGGTAAACGATATTTAGAAGACATTTTCATCGTGAGTTCCACTAGTTCATGATTCTTTCAAGTAAGACAGGTTTCATATGTTCATTCCCAGATAAAAAAATTGTCTCGATCTCAGAGAAGTATCTTCAATCACCACTATCACTTCTCCAAATATTAGTTGATTCACTTTCTAGATTCCTAACTCTAGTATTATGATTTGGAAATTATTTGGATTCCCCATATAAAAATATAACCTCTTATGTAAATTTTCCCATGCAAGGTCATGAAGTTTCTCGTTTTATTTGTAAACGCCATTCTGTTCCCACCACCGCTACCAGAATGGGACAAATAAAACGCAACTATCCATACAAAATTTCATTACAATGTTGCCAGTAGTTTCAACATAATCGTGAAAAATGTGTGAAAAAAATATTTTATTAACACCTTGCATCTTGAAAACGGATGGCGTTACGACATCTTTTTACTGAGCAAATCCAACTTATTTTGCAATGTTCTACCTACCCTAGCAAGGGGGTTAGGTTTTTTTGAAACACCCTGTATAGGGTAACACAAGTACCAAACGATCATATAGGGTCATACAAGTAGTAAACACATCCAACACCACGAATGTTCGTTAATTTGGTACAAAGGTACACAGGGTGTTTGAAGAAAAAAGGACATGTGGAGAGGCCTGTGCCACGATCCAACAATGTATTAGATCCATAGCAGAAGAAGTCGGAATGGCTCATTGTAAAGTATGGAAGGCAATATGACGAGAAGAATTCTATCCATACTATTATCGAAAAGTACAAGCGTTACAACCCATGATCGTCCTGCGAGGGTTGAATCCACATTTACACGAAATGGGGAGTATTACTTTCAAAATTCCCATATTCGGACAATAGAAAATCCTCAGAACACATTTCCAGCAAGGATTTTCGTTGAGTTTTTGGGCTGGGCTTGTCAATTATCAAAATCGTTTAATTCTTCACCTTCATTTCAATACTGAAAATAGGTATAAGGAATAAATAAGGTTGGGAATTTAATGGTATATTTTTATGATTTTTTCATCGGGTCAGTTTTTCGCGGATTCTTCACTTAACTTACATTATGAAAAAAACATTAATATACCGATGAAACAGTTGGAAAATTTCAATAATCTGAAGATATTTCTACTGTTACTGTTTACATAAAGATCTCGTATTTTCTTTCAGTACGTTAAAGACAATCGTTACTATATCGTGCAATATACCGATGACAGGATGAAGAAGCCTAAGTACTTGAACGTGACCGATTTGAATGTGATGGTGGACGAACTGAAGCCGAACACCCTGTATGATTTTTCCGTGAAACTCGTAAAAGGTGAGTGCCTAATTAATACGATGAGTGATGTAAATTGTATTTATTTATGGACTATTCTATTCGTATCACTTACTTACTAGTAACCATTCCTTTATTACAACCATGATCACAGATGAATTAAAATGAAAATGTGGAAAGTATTTCTCTATATTCACCTAGATGTGAATCATATCACATTTTGTAACGCAAACCGAAGCTTGAGGTCAGGTTGATGAATATACTTCTTATTCTTGTGTTATTTGGCCATTTGCTATGCTATCTTCTTCTCCCTCAATGTAAGAATTGGTAGTAAAGTTCCACAGTGAGACTAAAAATCGTAAGTCTGCTCAAGTAATTCCATAACTGGAGGTTTTCTATTTGCTCAAATATTCAACATAATGTTCTTCGAATATTCTCGATAAAATAGGCCATAGCCTTAACGGTATCCGGCAAAATTTTGGGATTTTTTACTTTGACGTTGACCTCATGTTTTAGTAGCGCCAACTGGTGAGACTGAAAATGTTGGCCCCCGATTGAAAATTTGTTATCCCTGAAATGAACCGGTACTAACCTACACTCGAACTGAACCAGGATGTTCAAATTGGAACATAATTTTTATTCAAGTATTTTTAGTGACATTTTATTGACGGATTTGGCTGGAAATTTGAAATTTTGATCGTACTGTTTTTATGGTGAAGAAAAATAATTCGAATTAAAAATATCATAGAAGATACTGTGCTGTTGTGCTATAAGCTTCAAGGTCCAAATTTATTCTATACTGTACTGTGTTTTCGGGATCATCTTGGTGTTTCCCAGAGATGGCTGAAGCTCGACTCAATGGCCTCGCATTGATGAGTATACACAGACAATATATTTTCAAAAACTTGAACGATTTCGTCAACAAAGTGTCCAACGAATTCGCAAACAGAATGCTGAATCTGAAAATTCAGTTATAGACTAGATTCGGATATGTCTTCACCATGAAAATGTCAGAAAATTATGAAAAAGTTGTTTTAGTTTTTCGCTTTTCATAACTCCGAAACCACTTGATATAGAGAAAAATTAGTGCAGATGAAAATGAACGCAAATGAAATTTACAAAAAAATTGAATAAACATCAGCTCGCTGACTTATCTGGTTAAGCCGCTAAAGCGCGCTGAAGATTGACCATAGTTTTCAAGTTATTCAAAATATTCGTATTTCAGACTTTTAGAGCCTACAGTCTGTCCACGGAATCTGCGCCCTTCGTTGATTGGGTCTGAAGTCAGAATTGAATCCATAATATAAGTCTGCTTGTAAAACACTCATGGTTGTACGGATAAAAATAAATAGGCAATCATCCAAAAGTTCATTTAGTGCAGTTGAGGCAGTAAACGGTCGATTGCGGGAGATTCATTTCTTTCGTGGCCTTTTCGCCTTGGGAGACTGTTCTTCTGAAACACAAAAGAGATACCTATTAATATACATCGATATTTAATGTTTGTTGTGACTGGTGATATGTTGGTTAGATGAAGAGGAATATTGATACCTTCAGTTTCATACGAGGTTCCTGGCAATTTCTCAGTAGCCTCCTGCTCATCATTCCTTATACCAGAACTAGGCAGGACATCTGAAAAATAATCACAGTTACATCGTTTGAGTAAATGTGTTGAAAAAAATAGTCAAGCCATGGAGTTTTTCAAGAAAATATTCATATATTATTTGAACGATTAATCGCTTTCTTCACCAGCAAAGTCCTGCACAGCCTCTTCGTTCTCATCATCCAGATGTCGTCATAGTTTGAATACATCTGACTGTTGCTGCAATAGCCTTCACAGCATTTGTACATTTTGGAACAGAACAACCCGGCCTTCTTGCAGGCAACAAGATGCAACACCTTGTCTGGTGCACACGGTTTTATGGTTGTTTGTGGCATCAATCCGTTGTTTGTCAAGTACCATATCCCCAGAGCAAAGGGTTGTTCCAAGAGGATAGAAAATAGTACTAGACAAATTTTAATTTTCGTGCTAGATTCAGAATGAAGCGTAATTGATGTATATTTGTGATTTGGAGGGAAATTAAAAATGAAGGCATAAAATAAATCTTGAGGAAGGAGGTTCAGGATACTCCACATACTAGGCGGAAACACTAGCCTGGCGGTGTATACTAATTTAAAATCTGAAATACGAATATTTTGAACAACTTTGAAACTATTGTCAATTTTCAGGGCTCTCTAGCGGCTGAATCAAACAAGATATCGAGCCGATTTTGATCTTGTTCTACAGAAAATTTTATGGGCTTCAATTTTTGTATGATGTATTTTTTCTCTAGTAGTAGGAGTAGTAGTAGTAATAGTAGTAGTAGTAGTAGTAGGTGGTGGTGAGGCTGTAGCCAAGCAAGTAAGCCCCGATGGCCCCTTTTTGCTGACCCCTGCTCTCCACATGTCTACGATTCCTTATATAATCAAGTCCTCCTGTTGGAGTTTGTCTACTCCAAATATTTCAAACCTCAGCCTTCCGTACGCCTCGCACACGTTTTTTCGGAGTTATAAGCAAAACATCAAAACAAGTCCCGAATTGTTATGGTTCATCGCGTTTTTGGTGGTGAAGCCATATTCAAATCTAGCCGCTAACTAGATTTTTAGATCCAGCACCACAAAAATCATTTAGCAATTTTTTTCTGAATCCAGTGCTTTCTGTCACCAAATTACTGAATTATAAATATACATCTATCTGTCTCAGGTCGCAAGGAGAGCTCGTGGAGCATGGTGGTGCAGAACCGTACGTGGGAGCCGCCCTTGGGCCTCCCTCCGCGCGAGCTCGACGCCCACTTTTTGGACGCCGACTCCAATCTGGTCGAGCTGACGTGGCAGCTGCCCAAGCCGTACGCGGGCCGCATCACCGGCTACGTTATCCTCTATACGGACCGCCCCAGGTTGGATTTTCGATTTTCTAGTTTAATCTGAGTTCATCCTTCACTGTGACATGTTTATTTCATTTAATTTGATATATCCTTGATTGTTTACGCTAGGATCTCTTGATGCAGACTGACGTATTTGTCATCTAACAGGGTACGGACAGATTATAGCTCCTTTCTCTTTTAATCATCTAGTGACTTTGGTTTCGTGTATTGGCGTCCCTGACATGACATTGCTGTCACGTTACATTTATAGGCGTTGAAAGAGATCTTACAAAATTTGAATTTCATACTTGATCATAGACTTGATGCATGGATGGCAAATTTGACTTTGTCAACTTTCCATCAAATGCAAACGAACTTAGAACATGGAAAGTGGAGTGAACGAATGGGAAAAATTGGTAAATACATCAGCCAAATATTCGAGGTAAAACCAATACGAAGTCACATATTGTACTTTCTCATTGTGCCTATAATTACCCCTACCATTTGAAAAATTATACCTTCATTCAGGAAATTTTAAGTGTTCGTGAAAAACTGCAAAAATGATTCCCAACATGAATATATACAGCACCCATGACAGATGAGCACATTAGTTTGAATACCTACAAAAAATGTTTCACCATTTCTCCACCATAAGGCTTAGTCTGAAATCGAAATTCATTTATTGATAGGTACTGCCTAAGAACAGTCCCATTTGGTAAAAAGTATTAAACTTTCAATTAAATTTGCTCACTGCCTCACAAAGATTATGCTGGAAAAATCAAAAACTCGAAAAGTATCATCATCATTTGGATATATTATGTAGAGTTGAATGAGAAATTACATGTGGAAATTACGTATGATACGCCAATGTCCTCAATATAAACTAAAAAACAACAAATGTCAGAAATCTTGTGTTTATTCCCAGTAATGTAACTGTTTTTCAAACACTCTAGAGTGAGAGGACACGAGGGTTTGTCCGTATCCTGTTAAGATGACAAATACGTCAATTTACATCAAGGGACCCTAATTTACGCTAACAAGGTGAATACTCATCATGAGAGCAATGAAGCCAGAAATTCTATTCGGTAAGGGACGGTGTCTATGAGAGACATGGTGAACTACTTTTTTTTGAGTGGCGAAGGGTAGAGATCGGTTAGGTAAGAGTTGGGAATTCTGAAGGGAATTCTGAAGGGAATGGCGCCTTATTTTCTTTAAATATCTACCATTCCCTTATGGAAGGCATGTTTTCAATACCGACCAATTTCAAAATTCATCAGTGAAAAGTGATTGCAGCAAAAAGTGGAAAATCAAAACAACCTCCTTGTTTTAAACTTCATCACTCGGGTGGGTACAGTTCAACATGCAATAAGGAACTAGCAATAAGTATATCCATATGTGTCTATTTTGTCATATTAAAATGTTGTTACATGAATTCTTTTCATTTTTATACCTATTGTTCTGCAAAAAGTGTATCGCTTTATAAATTGAAGTGGCTGTTTATACCTTATTTCTATTTTTCATCTACGACAATGATTGATTTGACAAAAAATATATCCTCTAAAATCGTATCTGACAATCAGCCGCTACTAGGGAAATTGAAAAGACAAAGAGCAGAATATGTCTTATTCTTTTATTCACTCAAACCATTGTAATATAGAAAAAAGAAAAGGACAGAAGTTCAGCTGTGTCCGAACTCTTTATCTAACTAATACCATCTAGTGACTCTAGAGATCGGTAATGAAGAATATATTCGAAGTTTATATTTTGATGTTTTTATGCATGAAGGAATGTCTCATCAGGGCCGGATTAAAATATGTTCATTTAAAAGCCTTCAGAATACCAAAGTTAGTGATTTTCCTGCCTTAGAAAGAAATATATTCCTAAATGGTTCATCAACTTGCAGATAGGTGGACTCGAGCAGATTTGGAGAGTGTAGACATACGTCCATATTTTGCGCCGCCAAGAACTAAGGCCAAATTTTGCTTCAACATTTTACGTGGTGGTGTATCATCTTATTAGTGTTAATAATCTAGGATTTTATTTATTCATTCATTTTGCTTTTATCATTCTTATTCGGATCATACCAGGCAAATCATGTTACAGTTGTAGTATATATGTACTTCATTGGTAGTTATGTTCAGGGCTAGTTTGATTAATGTGTTTTCCCCTTTATATTTTTTGTTTTCCACTCATTCCAAAAAATCCATAGCTCATTTTATACAATTTTTCATACAGATTTCACTCATATTTTCAATAATGCAATATCTCCTCAAATATACAGGGTATATAGAAAAATATATTCTTTCCAAATGAAATGCGCCATATATTTGAATTGATTTGAATTTTTCAATTCATCCTGAATTCAAATACAGGGTTAGGATGAAGTATGGAACCAAGCAAATAACTCGGTAACCGAGTGTTAGATTTTTTGAATTTATGTACAGGGTAATTTCAATACGTGTCGGATTTGAAAATATTATCGCTAATGTTGCCACTTTTTCAGTTATTCCGGAATTATTATTCACTTCCTTGTGTTAAATAGAACACCTTGTATTTTAAGGAATTTTCAGATTATCCCTGAGAATGATTACAGATATATAGGGTGTTCAAAATCGAGATTTTTCAACTTTAGGATTTTTTGTGTCGAAACTAATCATCATTGGTCAAAACGGCTCACATGTCCGTATTTCAACTTTTGATTTACTATCTACTGACATTTAATTGAACAGATACAGGGTGATCAGAATTCGGATTCTTGAACCACCCCGTAGTCGTTCCAATCAAATGTCAATAGATAGTAAATCAAAAGTTATCCGACATATTTTGAAATCACCCTGTACTGTAATAATATGGATTCATATGAAGTGTTTTTCAATGAGATCTCATAATATTATTGATGAAAATGACTATATTTGATTCAATTTGTCTTGTTTTATGAGTATGAATTGTATTTACTTCAGTATTACTACTAGAACCAAACTATAAACAGGAACAGCTGATAAACTGACATCTGTCAAATAAACCGTGGCGTCATAATAAAGTTACCGTGACGTCATCATGCAGTTAACCTGGTTTGTCTGGTTAGGTTCGAGAAGTGACTTAAGGCCCGTATTTATAGTCGTTTCCTCAAGAACTCCTCAAGTCTTTCTTATCTGAGGATTCCTTGAGGACTCCTCAGTACTTGACGTTGAACTTGTTTTATAGACCACCATTGAGTATTTCTTCTGAAAGGAGCCCGTACACTTGGCAACAGTGTATAATTTCAGTGTTCTGTGACCAAATTCGTTGTTTCATGTCACGTGTGTCACAAAATGTAAAATGTCGAATTTGACAATGTTCACTGTTGATTCTGATAATCCAGGTTGGTTCAAATTGGGCCTAACAATATAGTACTTCGATCACAGACAAAATATATCCAAGGTTCCGCAAAATGAAGAAAGGGTCGAAGAGTTTATCGATGACGATGTTGGAAAATCACAATACAATTAATTAAGAATTACTCTATCAAAAACGGATTCTTTCTATCTGCAATGGAATAATATGCCAGGGAGAGCAAACATATCCATTTGATTGAATACTTCGAATGAATCTGTGATTTTAGAGTGGTTGTTTATTGAAAATGTATGTATTTCAATTTCATGAATAAATTATCAAGATTAATATATAATATAACAATTTAGATTTACTTTCCAACTGAACTTGAAGTAGCTTCTACTGGAAATCGATATACTCGAATCAGGTTCTCTGTTCAAATTCAGTCAGTATATTCAATTTCATCATTCCATTCATGGATTTCATAACATAACCTGAAATATTACTAGAAATTGGATCAAGGAATGCTAAAGGAACCTCTTGACCTTCCTTGGAATTGACATTTCCTCGAGGCTTCCTTTGAGCTCATATTACGACTATAAATTGGAAACTGGTGCCTTAAGGGACGAGGTCACCTTGAGGAGCGACTATAAATACGGGCCGAACTTCCGAGAATAAAGTATAATAATTTTGATTGATTGATTGATTGATTGATAGGTTGCCCGATCCAGAGTGGAGCGTGCTGCCTGTCAAGGGCGATGTGCACTCGTCTGTGGTGTATGGTTTGAGGCCATTCACGCAGTACCATTTCAAGGTGCAGGCGAGGAACTCGAGGGGGTACGGCCCCTTCTCGAATTCTGTGGTGTTCAGGACGGGGCAGAGTGAGTGTTGTTGAATTGATGATTATTATTTTCGTTTTGATATGTCCGGGTATACTAGTTTATGGTATTCCGTTTATTCTAACAATCTTCGATATTTATAATAATATTATACATAAAATCAGGTCTGTTCGTTTGTGTTGGTATATATGCTTAGAGCACGTCTAGAAGTAATGCGTATGTTAATTTTTGTCGAGCATTTGATCTGAAAGATCAAGCTGAATCCACTCGGTCCAAAATGGTCGAGCAAGAAAAGCAGATCAGTTTAGTAGGTTAACATAATAAAAATGCACCAGGCTTCAATGGCATTAATGTTCATATAGTCAAAGCAGTTGAATCAGAATTGGTGCCATTACAAAGTTAATTGGTAACTGGTTTGATCCCCAGAAACTGTAAAATTGCAACAATGTTACCAATTTACAAAAATGGAAAAAAATACTTGAAATTAATTTATTCCAGTTTTATTTACTCTAAATTGCAGTATCTGATATCGATCTGGGGTACTGCAGCAAAATCTGTTTTGAAACTTCTGAAATCTCTTCAAAATAAAGTCATAAAATGTATTTATAAACTACCATTTCTGGAATCAACATCTAGACTGTACAAACCAAGGGATCTGCTAGATATTGACTCTCTCTTCAGAATGAAAGTATGCATTATTCACTAAAAATAAGAAAAAGCACTTGAATATTACTTTCAATATCAATTCTGATACCCATGAGCATCACATCAGATAAAGTGAACATTTGAAAACTGTCAAAATAAAAACCCAATTCGGGAAAAAAAACATTGTATTTTTGTGGAATAAATATCTATAATAGTCTACCCAACAGAATAAAATCTATTAGGTTCCTCACAAATTTAAGTGTGAACTGAAGAAATATATTTTATCAATTCAACTCTCTTCCTGTATCAATTATTTCTGATTGAACTGTTTATCTTTCATTGTATTGTATATTTGTTTTTTTTTGTTTCCCTCTATATACATTGTATGTTTCTTGGGATCAATAAATGTTATTATTATTATCATTTCCCATATTTATATTTCAATATACGTGAAATCAGGTTTGTTCATTTTTGTTAGTAGATATGCTTAGAGCACGTCAAGCAGAAATGCGTAAGTTCATTTGTGTCGAGTATTTGATCTAAATGTGTTAGTTTGTATGGAGCAAATGGCTGTAGATCAAAAAGATCAAGCTGAGTCTACTGGGACAAAAATGGTCAAGCAAGAAAAGCAGATCAGTTTAGTCAGTTACCATAACCTGAAAAAACAACAAATTGGGTTGAAGGCTACAAAAATTTCGAAAATATCAGGAGTTTCACCAACTGATTTTAAAAACGAATGCTAAGTATGTATAATAAGGAGAACAAATATATTCTGGAAATCATACATTATAGTTCTTTTAGAGGGTGTTCTAGTGGGTATGGAAAAAAATTCCATCATAAGAATTGATCGACTTTTGATGTCATGTCATTTTCCGAATTCTCATAATTATTGATTATCAACTCCAGAAATATTTGTGGCTGAGTCAAGAGTGTTCCTTTGTAGCCAATGCACTTTGCTAATTTTCTCTACCCGAATATACTACAATCTGCTTTGTGACGTCATTGACCTGATTTGATCGGCTTGCTCTGAGTACACAAATGAACAGACCTGACGTGTGCTCTACAATGAAGGCTAACATCTTCAGTTTCACCAGTTAGCGTTGAGTACTAGAGTGTGAGAACTATGTCAAAGTCAAAGATCTCAAAATTTTGCCGGATAGCTTTGAATGCTAAGAGATTACTTCACACACAATTTATATATTCACAAAGAAGAAGATCTCGTAGCAAGAAGCCAAATAAAACAAAAAGAAGTATCATCATCAGTTCTACTAACTTTGAGTACTTTGACCATACCGTCTCAGTAGCGCGATCTGGTGAACAATCATATATGTTAGCCCTCATTTACAGTAAACGGATTTAGAGTTATTTACTAAAAACGGGTTTTATTGGCGAATTATGTTTCAATGGGAGTACAGATATGAAGTAATTTATTAAAACTCAATGAGAGTCGAAGTTTGGTAGAGTCAAGCCACTATTTACATGGTACAATGATAGAGATAGAAAAAACGGCTTCTAGACACGAATAAATCCGGTGAATTCGCGCGAGCGACGTATCATATAATATGTTCATGAAGGGGTTAGGCCGTTACCGGGGGCAACGGTTAGGTGAGGTTAATAATAAGTGTAGTTGAATTTTATCAGATTTTGGTCTTGTTATGTGAGTAAGACAGGTATAATGCATAAAGGTAAAAACATTTCAAAAGGTGGAAATCAAATTATTGCAAATGTTTCATTATTACTATCATTCATTTCATTTTTTTTTCAATTATTTCAAGTACAGTCGTATTCAATAAAAGAGCGTACATGTATTAAAAAGAGAGGATTTCGGAATCGTAGTTCTAGTCGTGTAAAACTGGCTCAGCCAAAGCTTTGTGTTTTCGAGAACCTATGACAACTTTACTGTCAACATTTTGTGAACAATCATTCCCGATAGCCCGTTTTATGCAGAATTGGATGACGTTAATTTCTCTGTAATATACTTGTACGCTTTTTTTTAATGCGACTGTACCATCTGTGATGAACAGAACCTATATCTGTGATATTTTTGAATCTTCATTCATTTATTCTTGGTCATTTCGAAATGTTTTGGTATGCCCAGTTCCATGCTATAGTCGTGGAAATACACCAAGGCAAAATCTGTTTCTTTTTATTTACCGCAAGCTGATTGAGACAGAAAATCACTAGAAAAAGGAACGTCGGAACTTTATTCATATATTTTGATCATTGAATTGTCACTGTGACTTAATGTCAAACAATTAGAGTACTGGTTATACATCAATAATATTTCGAATTCCTTATATCATTATGGTGAAACGATTCAATGATCAATCGGAAACATTGATTCTGAATGTGATCGCGTATTTTGTAAAACACGATGATTTCTGCCAAGTTCAAAGAAAGAATGTTGTCAGCATTGCCGCGGAAGCTTTGAATATTTCAGAAAGGAGCATTTATCGGATCAAGAATTCGCAAACAAACTCTGATGCTGTTTATGCAGAAACAGTTCCGAAAAAGGTCGAAGAAATAAAAAAAAAGGTAAATCCGACAATTTTACAGGCTCTTAGAGATATTGTTCATAAGATGTATGTTGGAACAGTACATGTTACAATAAAATCGCTCCATAAGCGTTTCACTGAAGAATGGCCTGAATTTCCTTGTTCACCAAGATCGGTGAATACCTGGATTCGCAAAATTGGGTTCAAATTCAAGAGGAGCAACAATAGGCAGGTTCTTGTAGAACAACCATCAATTGCAGGCAAGCGTACGTCATTCCAAAAAAAATATATCATTTAGATATTAACGCATCAGAACATGGTCACAATATTTTGAGATCACCACCTCACCATTGCCAATATTATGCCATAGAAATGGTGTGGTCAGAGGCTAAAAGGATTTATGACGCCGAAATCTTCAAAACTAAATCATCCCAGGTAGATGTGATAATGGTCTGGTCAAAGGCGTTAGAAGCTGTGGGTGTGGAGCATTGGAGAAATTATGTACGACATCCAAAAAAAGTAATATTTTCGGCATGGGAGACGAAGAAATACATATGTGCTTGAAAAGGAATATTCTCAGATAAATTATGAACATACAAAAATGGATATATATTTATATAAAGCAATACATTGAGAATTCGCATTCTCTATGTGATGAGAATATTTACTCTTTTTCAGTTAATTCAATAGAAAACAACTACTTTCCTGGCTATATGCCACGACGAACATGTGCTTCCAATATTGAACCTGTCTTGATAACTTTCAATTCAGATGAGAGCGATACATCATCGGAGGAAGGGTCAATGAGTTCAAATGAAAATATTTGTTTTTGAAAAATGTTACTTCCTGAATAATTCATATTAAATTAAGTTGATGTTGACAAGGAATTATCATTCGAAATATAATTCATGTGAGTTATACTACTTACTTACTTTCTTGCAGAAAGCCAAAGACAAAACATTTGTACGAAAGAATTTCATGTTGATAATGGATACAGTGTTTTCCGAAACCTCTAGTTGATATGGAGAGTAATACATCTTCACATATTTTCTTTATAATTTTTTCCTCAAATACCTTTCAACATCTCATTTCACGAAGTGTCACTGACTATCAGCTGAAAAAATTCTTTCAGGTCTGAAAATAAATTTTTAAACACTTCGGGGCAAAGAAAAATATCCACATCCAGTCATCCACAGATACTTTTATATCTCCATATTTTTTTTAGAAATGAGGGGAGAAAACTAATGAATTTTTTCGATATTTTTTTGCCAAAGCATCAATCGCTTGTAAATATATTTGCGAAAAACAGATGATGTTGAACAGCTTGAGAAATCTTATAGTTCATTTATTCCAAAATCCGATAAGGTTGAAGTCATATTTTGGATTGCAGCTAATATTTTTGATTTTTATTATCGCTCAAGACAAACGAGAGAGAATCACTATTTTATGTTCGTAGAACATCGTCCATCCCTGGGGTGGAAAGGGAGAGAAGGTATAGGTATTGAAATATCAAGAGTTATCCTTATTTGTTCATGGTGCAAGAGATCTCATATTCGAATTTCGTATTTTCAACATTTATTTCGGGTAGGTATTGAAAACATCTCCTCAGGTTTCCCGAACTGATTTTCCGCGACAATACTGTTCAGTGTTCAACTATGGTTATTCGTTTTTTTAGGTGAATATATATTACGAATCTTTGAGAAAAAAAAAACATGGGAACTTGTAATGGTACGCACATACACTCCTATATCCGTTCTCATGGACTTCGATGAACTGCCATATTCGTTACCATGATTATCATGATTGTCAAAATCTGGAATACTTAAGAATACACATACGAATGGTAACCAGAAATTCTATAGGCTTTTGTTTTGTGACTTGGTGTATTTCCACGACTTTAGTCCGATTCGGGTAGTTTCGGAAGCAACTGTGGATTTGAAGGAGAGACGGAAATTGTCCGAAGTAGCGGCTGGACCCTATTCCTGCATAGTTATATCATTTCTAGTTTATTCTAGTATGTTTTATTAGTGTATTGTTTATTCTTTATTTTCTTTTTCTTTTTCATAAGTTTATTCAGCCGTTGCCACCCAAGTTTCCAATCTGGGCCAAACTGCTGGTAAATATTATTTTTTTTTAATTTTATCAGTTTATATTCCTTATATATCTGAAGATTCTTAATTAAAGAAACTATATTTCAAACTCAGCAGAATCAAATATCAATTTCTGAATCTTGCAGATTCCAGTAGCGTCTTTTCTTCACAAGTGCTTCTGTATACGACAATCAGCGGTTGCCTTTTGGCTGTCATCACTATATCAGGCGTCGTGGGATTCTTCTGCTGTCGAAAAAGAGACGTGGCAATGTCCCCAGACAGAAATAAGAAGGTATAATATAGACGATTATCAATCTAGTTAGTCATTTCAATCATAAAACCATAAATCTTCTTGATTCAAAATCAGTAACTTGGTGTCAGGAGTGGGATGAAATTTGAATGTAGTGTCAGGTGTGGAACTAGGATTCAGAAAGATGGTTCATTCATTGTTTGTTGTTGAAACATTATTCTTCGTCATTATTTGGTATTAAACATGGAAATAGAGTGTGGAACTACATTCTAAAAGGGTGTTTGTATTCAATGAGCATTCATTATTTGTGACTGAAAGGCATCCAAAACATCAAATCTTGAAATTAGTTATTTGGTGTCAGGTGTGGGATGAAAGTTGAATGTGGTGTCAGGTGTGGGACTAATATGAACAAAGCTGTTCTCATCTGAAATTCATCCGATCTTTGTGATTGATAGGGCTCTCAGAACATCAAACCGCCTGATCTTTGGATCCATCACGACCAGATGGAGCTGAAAGCGATGGAGAAACGCCATTCGCACAACGATGGTGCCAGCAGTAGCGGCGCTATGACATTGCCGCGCAGCATGGGCGGAAACGAATACGAACCTCACGATACCATCAACACCAACTCGCTCGACAAGAGAACCTACGTGCCTAACTATGTGGGTGAGTAATTTTTGCTAGATCATGGCACTTATTCACCCCCTGCTTCACTTTTTGCTTTATGCTCAATTTTGCACGCTTGCCTCATTTTTTTTGTGGTACTCACGCACATTTTGCATACGCCTAGGTGATGAATCGCTCAGAGGTTCGGTTAGGTCCAAGCCCATCAACTTTCCAGTGGATTGTCAGCTACCTAGAGATCGTGAGTATATTTGCTTCCTACAATCATTGTTGCTTTTGGCACTAAACCATTCACTAAATGCACTTGTTGAGAGATGAAATGGGTATTTGATTTAAATTTTCATTTGAATCGTTGGTGAGTGGAATGGGACCTCTCACTATACCTATCGAGAGAGAGAGATATGTATGAAAGCTGTTTTGGCGGCAGGTGTGGAATGATTTTGATACAATTAAGAGTTTGTATGCGATGATAATATATATTATATATATATTATATATAAGTGTACTGTTCAGAAAAACCAGCATGTTCTGGTGATAAAAGCGGAATTCCTCATAATTCTTCGGTATTTAGTAGTATAGAGAAATATATGACGAGAAACTTTTGAGTGCAATATTGCAATCGGAGTATGTTTCTGTTGTTTCTCTGCCATCGCGATATGTTTGACAAAGATATTATTGAACGTCTTTGGGGGATCCATATTTTCTGTTTTGTTGTTCAATAGTTTGTAGAGTAAAATATAGAATGAGGAACTGAATTTCAAAGTTCTTGCTGGGTTTTTTCCTGTTGTTTCTCAGCCACGACGACAATGCCCGATAGGAATTTCACTGACGATTTCGTACCATTTTTGTATTCTGTATCGTTACCATAGCAACTAAACCAATTTTTGAAAATGTTTTCCTGCTTGGGGAAAGATCATGAAATTACACTGGAAATGTTTCGACGTTTTTAGATAAAATGACATTTACATTTAACTTCAGATTATGTCAATTTCTTTCTATAAGTTGATGAGTTCCTTGTGAGAAAATACATAGCTACCAACTTGAGTCGAATGAATTTGTATAAAACTGAGAGATTGAGCTACTATCGACTCATTTTTTACTATTTCATTTAACTAAAGTCGTTTAATCACATTTTATTCAACTTTATATCATTACCTGAGCAAATTTCATTGATACTAGATTCTTCGGGTTTCTTGTGAGAAAATATATTCCTACCAACTTTGGTGAAATTAATTTGTGAAAAACTGAGAAATTGAGCTACTATCGACTTATTTTTTATTATTTTGTGTAACTAAAGTGAGTTAATTGTGTTTTATTCAACCTAACAATGTTATGGATATGAATTATATTAATACTACATACTGTCAAGTTCCTTGTAAGAAAATACATTTCCAATTAGGAAAAAGCCAAATATCAAAGTGGAATGCAATGGTCACATAGAGTCACTCAGTCATTACCGCAATAGTTCATAAAATGAACGAAAATGGTAAATAACTAGAGAAAAACAACAACTTTTCTGGCTATATGCCAAGCAGAACATTGAATTACATCCTCCCGAAATCTATGCAATAATTCGTATAGACGAATAAAATCGCAAGTGTTACCTTCCTAAACGCCGAGCTGCGCCTAACTGTTTCAGGAACGCGTGACTACCTGCATACCAGTTTCGAGCTGTTGGCTCCCATCAGTGCAGGGCTGTCCCAGACAGCATTCTTGACCGCTATCTGGTGCGAACCTTCCGAACGACAGATATGCATCAAACTTGAACAAGCTTGCAAGAAAAGTGTTTCTGTACTTTTAAAATTGTTATAGAATACTGGTTGTTTATTCTGGTGGCAGGGTGGGATAATTCGAGATATCTTCGCCAAGTTGCTGGTAAAGTTAGTTTATGTTGTTTCTTAGCCATCACTTGATAACAATAAGTATATATTCGATTTGGTAAAACAAATTTTCAGTTTTGGTGGCAGGTGTGGGATTATTCTTCATGAATTCTATAGTTTTTAGAACACATCGAACAAATTGTTGTCAATTCTGGTGACAGGTGTGGGGTAATCCTTGACACTCGAAAATACAAGTAAATCGTTATTTCGCAGCCATCGCGACCCCCATCAACACTGCCACTCTGAGCCAGTCGAGTTCAGAATCGACTCCTTCCAGCCGACAGGCGTACGCTCGTACAGGGTACGCCGTGTCGAAGCAGCCGTTTGTGCCTTCCGAACAGTCTGCGCCGCAGCAGCACCACCAAGCCACCGAGAACGTCTACGTCACACATCCGGTGCACAGCAGTGCTTATGACGCCAACGTTCCTCTCATCTCGGGCTACATCGGGTAAGTCGAGTTGGTGTTTTTTTTGTCCAATCAGTTTGCTGAAGAGGTTATTCAACTTAGTCAAAATATTTTTTGAATTTACTCGGCCGTTACTTGATGGAAATCCATGATGAATGTGAAAACTTTACAAACGATAAGATTTTCACAAAATTTATTAAACACACGACATGTTTCGCTAACACAGTAGCTTCATCAGGTGATATACTGGTACAATGAACTAAACTAACGTTGACTTGCTTAAGTTTTATATATCCTACTTTCCCAACCTGAAGGATTAGTTACCTGCGGACAGGTACGATAAACCTCCATTTTCGGAAATTAGGCACAATATCTGCATTAAAATACGGTGTATCGGATTAACTTGAGAGAGTTGATAGCAAATACATATTATTACTTACTAAGAAAACAAATCCAACAGTGGTGAACTATTGAGGTCTAATTGATCGTTAAGTAAAATATCAGATTTTTTTAGTTTGTTGATTTCTAATGATTCATAATCATATTTGATGATAATTTCGAAATTCTACACGTAGAAAATGAAGGAATGAAACTCAATCATATTTCGAAAGAGCTATATTTCCTGATTTTGAAAATATATACTTTTCATATATTCTATCGAGTGCTTGACAAAATATCAGCAAAATTAAATATTAATATTTGGTCCAAGTTAGCTATGGTTGAAAAAGAATGAGATGATGTATAAGTGAATTGACATTTGGTCAACATTCCAGTGACATAAGTGCGCAAAATTTCGACAATTTTTTCACGCTGCCATATCCACTGGAACGAAAAAGAGATATTTTGGAGTGCTATTTTTCAGTTAATAAAAATCTTGCTGAAACACTTCATAAGTTTATGAGGAGTTATCCAGGCAGGAGATTACCAAGTAAGAATTATGTAAAGTATTTGGCTGCTAAATTTGACAGAACTTCCAGTTTGTCGAATATCAAGAGAATAGTGAGAAGGCAAGACAACGAAGACGAGGAACTTCTTGTAATCCAGTATTTTGTTGAGGATCCTTCACGGTCAATAAGAAATGCAGTGAGATAGTTTGGTTTCAGCTATTATTTTGTTCAACATACCTCAAAGAAATATAAATATAGGGATTTCAGAATTAGACCATGCCACAAACTCAATTATGATGATAATGAGAAGCGGATTGAATTTTGTCTTGTCATATCTGAAAGATTAAATATGAGACAAAGCTAAAATACTGGATTACAAAAAGTTCCTCGTCTTCGTTGTCTTGTCTTCTCACTATTCTCTTGATATTCGACAAACTGGAAGATCTGTCAAATTTAGCAGCCAAATACTTTACATAATTCTTACTTGGTAATCTCCTGCCTGGATAACTCCTCATAAACTTATGAAGTGTTTCAGCAAGATTTTTATTAACTGAAAAATAGCACTCCAAAATATCTCTTCTTTGTTCCAGTGGATATGGCATCGTGAAAAAATTGTCGAAATTTTGCGCACTTATGTCACTGGAATGTTGACCAAATGTCAATTCACTTATTCATCATCTCATTCTATTCCAACCATAGCTAACTTGGACCAAATATTAATATTTAATTTTGCTGATATTTCGTCAAGCACTCGATAAAATATATGAAAAGTATATATTCTCAAAATCAGGAAAGATAGCTCTTTCGAAATATAAGATAATATACAGGGGGTTCCATTTGAAAAACAATTTTTTTCTCACAAACCCTGTATATCAAATGATAAAATCAAACAGAGAACACATTTTCCAGAAGGAAATGACATCTCATTCAAGTAACTTGTTCCAAATTTCAAAAATATTTTTTCGTTTTCGAGATATCAGCTGTTGAAGTCGAGAAATCCATAGTCAATCACCCTGTACAGCCCACATAACTCATATGGGTAACTGATCTCTGGATGATTATTTCTATGCAGGTGACACAACTCTGGTGCGCCTGAAATAGTGAAAATCACACGAAGACGACGAAAAACGGTGACAGGTGACCTTCGACATTTCGCTGCCATCATTTTCGGCGGGTTAATCAAATAAAGGGAGGAGATATTGCTATTTTTAATATATTTGAATTACTATTAAATTTATATTTTACATACTTATGTCCAAACTAGACGTTGTAGAAGTGGTGCTATTCACCTGGAATTGGTTTCAGCACAGTGTATTTCATGCACTCGTTACATTTCCGAAATATATCACTCTTCACTCTAGTTATGTAATATACTATTTCAATGTCTCAGCTGACTGCGTCTTTGCAAAGGCTATGTCTGACTTCAATTCGAGTACAATCAATAAAAAAAATGATTTGTTTCTCATCTATCTTCTTCTTTTTGTACTTCCAGCCAACCGCAGCCCGTGCCGCACAGCTTGCCGACGAGCAGCGGCGGGTACGCCCCCGGTAGTGGCGGCGGCGGCGCGGGATACGCCCCCGGCACGGGCGGGGCGGACGCGGTGGGCGGGGCGAAGAGGATGCAGGCGCAGGGGCATCCGTTGAAGAGCTTCACCGTGCCGGCGCCGCCGCCCGTCTCCGCCCCCGGGACGCCGCAGTCGAAGCACATCGGTGAGTAGGTCGGGTGGCTTTCCGATTTTGATCGTTTGTCATGTTCAACTTGATTTTATTTGACTTCTTAAGATTCACTATTTTAGGCGAATCTTGCTAAGGAGTACGCCCTCTACCGTTGGCATATTTACGTTTCCTATACAGCCAGCGCGATTGGTCGCTCTCACGAGATAGGGAACGGAGTGCATCCTGGAGCACTCCGTTTCCTAGCTGATATGCGCGACCAACGATAATCGACCATCGGCTGCTCTGTGGTGCATGGGTCAGGATTATTTACAGATTTTGTTTTCCACACTAATTTTCAGTCTGAAGAAGACACAATTCGACAATGAAACGGAAGTTTATTCATGCGGAATATTCAACTATACAAGAAATATAAACAAAATATATCGTCGAACCATTAGAAATGCTTTTCAGTTTCAGATTACTTTGTTTTTCTTACTGGTTATAAAGATCATGAAAGTAATCGAAAATAATTATTAGTGCGCACTACCATGACTTACAGCGTTCGTGGTATTTTGTAGGATGTTTGCTAATAATGAACGCTTTTTGCGAGGTCTCTTCTTCGAACTTATTCCGCTGCTAGATGGCCGAACGGCTTGTATAGCTTTGGCACCTCTGTAAGCAGATGTTCTTCTAGCAATAGAGGTAGGTTGAACATTAATTCTGTGAGACTTTTTCTGACTAGTAAACGAGGAACATAGAGCATAGAACGAAGCTTCGCTGTCCATTTTCTTCATCTACCTATTGAACTTCGTCAGAATAGGCAATAGTGCTGGATAAGATTCCACGAAGCTGCTAATCTTTTTCAAGTTGTCTTTGAATTCTTTGAGTCCGACTGATCCATCAGTTTTAGTTTCGTTCACTTCAACCGAAAAATTATTTTATTCATCAGGAGTCGTCTCATTAAGGCCATCTTCCGTTTCCAACATCATGGGTTCGCCAAAATCTACAGTAATTTCGTTATCTTTTTTTTTATCCATATCTTTGAAGAAGTTGGTACTACTGATAGTATTTCCAAGTGCTAACATAGCAAGTTCTATTTTGTCTTGTAAAAAAATATTAGGAACGTTCTGCATCTGCACACCAGTATTATATACAGCGCACAGATGCTTGCAAAATTTCCCTCCTGCCCCTTCTGGACAGTCACAAGGGAACACAGTTATTCAGCAACTAATTGCTCTTGGCATTCTAATGATGACAATAAACAATAACACGCGGGAACGTCGATGGTCGTTGGTCGCGCAAATCAGCTAGGAAACGGAGTGCTCCAGGATGCACTCCATTCCCTATCTCGTGAGAGCGACCAATCGCGCTGGCTGTATAGGAAACGTAAATATGCCTACCGTTGTCCAATATAACTGACGTATGGGCCATTGCTTGCTTTGTTTACATTAGTTTGGTGTGTTTTGTATGAGAATTACAGGCCTATTCAGTATCTCGTAACGTTATCGTTACGTGTCGTTAGTGAATGACATATTGTTTATCGTTAAATAACGATAATTTTCTGGGATCGCATTCACTACCGATTCTACAGTCGGTAACGAACGACAAGCTGTCATCAGAACATCGTTTATAGACGATAGCTATTCAGAGTATCGGTAGGATATCATGAACACAAAATCAATGAACATAATATCCTCTCATCCATCGGTTTTCTGTTGGAGATAAGTCAAATATAAGTATTTGTAGATATTCACCGTTTATTTCGATTCAGACAAGTGAATAAAAATTGGAATAGACGTTTGAGGGACGCTAATTGATTTGAAGACAGGCAAAATTGTGGGGTAAGTATATACATTGAAATTCACATCTTATAACGGCAGATTGGAATGAAACTATATTTAAGGATCATTTTCAAACAGAAGATTTATGAGATCCATTGTTCCCTTGATTTACAGAACAGACTATTGAAAAACAAATCCAATATTGCAAAAAAAAACATTAGAGGAATTGATGGTAAAACCTAATGATATAAAAAATCGGAGAACGAATCTGAGGAAATCCAGTAAATTGCAACGTGATATAATATCATTGATTGGATATTATCAGTAATTAGTGAATGCAGCAAAAGGTGGAAAATCAAAACAATCTCATGTTTTAAACTTGATCACTTGGGTACAGTTTTACATGCAATAACCAGCTATAAGTATATCCATATGTGTCTGTCATATTAAAATGTTGTTACATGAGTTCTTTTCATTTTTATAACTATTGTTCTATGAAAAGTGTATTGCTATACAAATTGAAGTAGGTGTTTATACGCTATTTCTATTTTCCATCTACGTATCTGACAATCAGGCGCTACTAGGGAAATTGTAAAGATGAAGCGCAGAATATATGTCTTATTCTTTTATTCACTCAAGCCATTGTAATATAGAAGATAAAAAGTTCAGTTGTGCCCGAACTCTTATTTAACTAATACCATCTAGTGACTCTAGTACATACACTATTCCCCACTATTCGCGATTTCATTCATTTATCCGTGTTTTGGCGTTTACAGTCTGTATAATATTTCTTTGCGTGTGACTGAAATTAGCATAGACCTACGCGCAACTTGCTATCCTCTTCAGACTTTCATATAGAGCAGCAATGTCTATCATGACGTTCGTTGACATACGTTACGACATCGTTTTTGAACTCGAATGGCTTGAATACAGAGGTATGTCGAGACACATTTGAATCGGCTAATTCAGAGGCGTGCAGTAGGTGCTGAAATTACATCGTCTTACGTGGCCATTGTCAAATATTTAACATGCCAGGAAGACTTTTAAATTCGCAAGCACGAAGTCTTGTATCGAATTGGTTACAATATTTCACAAGAGAGAAAGATAATGATGGTCCTTTAATCCAGTTTACTTCCATACAATAGGTAAATCATAATTCTTCCTGATTAATAATAAAAATAGTCAGACCTTACTTCAAGAATATCATCATGATGTACAGGGTATCCCAATTTGGGCACTTTTGCGGGGTATCTCCCTTATCAGTAAAGATAGAGCATTGCGGTTTTCGCGACAGTGTGCTACTTTTTTATGAAATTAATAATGGCGCAAGCAGAATTGTGATAGCTCTTCCGGTTGTCGAGATACAGGGTGGAATTGAAAAATATCACTTTTCAGGCACCCTCCGTGTCTCAGTTATCTTTGAACTTATCGAAGAAGTTAAAACTTGTTTTTATAGAGTTTTTCTCGTAGAATCCAGTGGCGTAGTTATTTTTTGCTAGCACCTATTGTTTTTTAGTTATGGAGCAAACATATGTTTTTTTAAATGGAACACCCTGTATATTATTTCATATATACATTGAGCATGAAGTGGGCTTTCCAAAAATATATAATTGTATTCAATTATTTTCCATACATAATTTTAGTGTATCGCTGATGTCCTCAATATTATTCTATTTACAGTTTCGAGTATGTTCTGAGAGAAACGAAAGTTCGAGTACGCCAGGGAAATCTAGGACTAAAAAAAACCTAAGACAGTAGATCTGGATGATAATTTGAAAATGGAAGTACGCAATGTGATCTATACTATGTATGCAAAAAGTAACTGATTTCATTTGATACTTCTTGACTACCTTCAACTGACTATTTTACAGAAAAACACATCACTCTGTCACTCTTAGAATTTTGAAAGAAGAACCCAGAACTAAACATATTCTTGACGCAAGTATAGGCAAATTGAGCAAACCTCTCACAAATGTAGGATTCAAATATAAAAAAGAAGACAACAGACGCTTATTGGTTGAGAAGACGGACATATCTATAATGAGAGCAGAGTTTTTCAGAAAGTTTTATGAAAATCGCAATTCTAGTTACCCTAGACAAATCTTCATCTTAGATGAAACTTGGATATTTGCGAAAGGGAATAAGATGAGATCATGGCAAGATCTAAGTACAAAACGTGTGTATATCGGGTCATATACCAACCCATACGGTTATACATACCAAAGTTCTGATGTTTTTGCCTTCAATAAATTGACGAATTAAAGAGTTGAAACTTGAAATATATACCAATCCTATGTTTTCTTGAATCTTTCTTAGTCAAAATTACCTGGAGTAGTGTGTAATTTATTTTTGAATATTATTATTTATTTTAACCCAATTTCTGAAACAGCACGGCACTGCTTCACTGGAACATATGACTTTGAATTGATTTGATTCGTTTTTTGAAGTTGTGACGTACGCGCAAAGAAATATTATACAGACTGTAGGATTGTTGGAGTATACTCTTTGATGATTAATGAATGAATCGCGGTGTCTATTCGATTTTATTCGCGAGAATCACGAAGTGTGCGGCCTCTGGTGGCAAATTTCACAAGTCTTGCGAGTATGAACAACAATTACAACAAATATGGCGCCCATTATTTTGAGTGAATCTTGATCACGTTTTTCTGAGGTTTACTTTGTGTCTGAGTGCTGGTAATTGCTTTCATTTTTTCGAAACATGCAGCAAGTTCACGAAAGAGTTAAAACGAAATCCAGCTTGTTTTTATTCAACTACCAAAACTCGTGAAGAAACTTCAGAACCATCAGTAAATATTCCGAAATCATCAGATATAACAAAAAGGACTATCCTTATACTCCTTATACAGAAAGTAAGTACTTACATGATAATAATTGAGATTCTCCAAAAAGAAATGGAATTTTCAATAAAGAATCGGAATAATGAATTTGAAGGTGCCCAAAAAGAAATGGGATTGACAATAAAAAATGAAAATTTCATTAGTTCCAAATAATAGTGAAATAATAGAGAACATGGAAACAATCAATCAAAGTGATGTTATAGAAAATCATTCTGGACCTATTACAAATGATGATGATGATGATATCTCGGATGATATGGAACTGGAGACGAAATATTACACTGAAGCACAGGTGATGAAGATGAAGTTCTCCAGCCGTCACAATAACATCAAGAACAACAGCAAACAGAAACCAATTGACCAAAATGGAAGAAGTGGATATAGAAATTGGGCAAGGGAGAAAACTTCTACTAGTTTATGTGAATAAAAATGGTGAAAGATATTATTCCCAAATATTAAATGACAATGACAATAATATGTCCAAAATGTATGAGTATGTTTTGTTGTTGCGCCATTTTGATAAAAATTCACAAACTGATGAGTAAAATACTGTGTGATCAAACTATAATCCATGAATGTGTTTCCTGTTGTAGTTGTTATGCTGTATTTGGTTGTATCTTGTGAAAGTAGAGAAAAATCAGTATTCCTTTTCATAATTATGTGTTTTATTCAAAAATTATTTAATTGTCAAAGTAAATATTCCAGAACCTCATTTTTACCCAATGAAAAAACTCGAATTTTTGCATGAACTTTTATTGTTTACATTGAAGAAACCAGCACCTGCCTTAAATAATATACATATTGTTCTGTAGCACAGTTAGAATCATTATATAAATGTTGGCTGCAATGATTCGATCTTGAAAATAACGTGTTTATGTGAATCGATGATATTGTTCATTCTTAGCAGTCTCTCCAACCATATCTTCTTTTCCAACCCCTTCACTAGAATTCCATCGCCTTCATAACAGCCAGTGATATTTCTTGATGAATTCAATTATTTCTTCATACCTATACCACATTGTTGTGATAGCTGATTCCTTATGGTTCCATTCCGATCCATGCAAGTGTTGAGTGGACTATTCCAACCATTCCATATGTTTGAAAACAGTGGAATTGTAATGTGACATCAATGGAATACCACCATTGTCCACATCAAAATGGCAATTTCTCTGCACAAAAAGTTATTTTTTCCATACTGGGCACCTTGTACGTCAATTATGAAGATTTCACGAAGTCAGATTATTCACTATTTCGCAAAAAGATTTCCGAACAACCAATTTGCAATACGGCAATGTTTTTGTTGTTTATACTCAGTTTGAAATTTGACGGTAAATAGCGCCATCTATTGGTTCGTAAATTTCGCGAATTGAGCCATCATAATAGTCCTGTTCTCTCCTCATCCAGTGACGGTGCGTCCGAACACCTCCCCCTACAAGCGCCAACAATCGGGCAGCCCGGGGGGCGGGCATCTGCTGGCCGGCGCGCCACCCCCCTCTCGCCTCGCTGCCGCCCACTGCCTGCCCCCGCACACCGCCGAAGAGGCGCAACGTCTGCGGCCGTCCTCCTCCACGGAGGAGCTCAACCAAGAGATGGCGAATCTGGAGGGGTTGATGCTCACGTTGAACGCGATCACTTCCAATGAGTTCGAGTGTTGAAGAGAAAAAGAAGCTGATGGGGTGACGATTTTGGCGGTTCCGGTTGTTCTGGCTGATCTAGTAGGACTGATGGGCGTAATTTTTTTGACTGAGGGTTATTAAGCTGTGCGCACGTGTATACACACCGTGTCCCAGCTAAAATGTCCCCTCCTGTAAAAAATCAACCGCGCGATCGAATGACTTGAAATTTGGTCAGCCAGTATATTTGATGATGCTCACTCGAATTATGCTATTGAATAAATCGTAGGTATACAGGGTCACACCGAAGTGCACCTCAACTTTCTTTTTTCTTTCTTATTCCATATTCAAGTAGAGTTCATTATTGCAAATTCAACAATGCCGGGTTTGATGGGATTTTTTTCGAACGACTACGAAGATATGCCAAAACATCAAACGATTCCATAAAAAATGTATATGATAAGAATTTATCAATACAACACGATTGAAATCGAATGGAAAGAAATTAATTGGAAACTTAACTGCTCAATATGTCGTCCATTCTGCTGCGAACATTTCCTAGCTCATTTGATAACGTTCATTGTGACCCTATGTATCACATTGCGATCAATTTCCTCCATATTCACAATTGGCGACTCATGAAACTGTTGTTTCAAGTAGCCCCACAAATAAAAATCAAGTGGGGTGAGGTCTGGCGACCGAGCTGGCAGTTACTATCACCATCGAGGCAATTGGTGGTTATTAGATTTAAATTATTTTCTCTTCATTCGATTTCAATCGTGTTATATTCATGAAATTCAATCATATAAATTTTTTATTGAATCGTTTCATTTTTTGCCATATCTTCGTAGTCGTTCGAAAAAATCCCATCAAACCCCGGCATTGTTGAATTTGCAATAATGAACTCTACTTGAATATGGAATAATATACTGGGTGTCCCTATTCAAATAATAAAGTTGAGGTGCACTTCGGTATGACCCTGTATACCTTCGATTTATTCAATATCATAATTCCAGTGAGCATGATCAAATATACTGGGTGACCAAATTTCAAGTCATTCGATCACGCGGTTGATTTTTCACAGGGAGGGACATTTTAGCTGGGACACGGTGTATTATACCAATGCAGGTAAGTGTTGTATTTCGTGCTAGATAATTTATTTAAATTTATTACTCGTAACAGAGCGCTTTCGACTGTTAAGTCTTCATTAGTGCATGCTCGTCAGGTTAACAGGGAAATTTGTTCATAAAAATATCTCTGGTTGAGTTTAAAAAAATCTACATCATGGTTAAGTACGGTAAAAACATATTAAAATGTGTTTCCCAAAAGGGGGTAAAAAACAGATTACATTTTCTTAAGCAGCCATTGTCGCTGCGACATGTCGTGTTGAAGTGAACTTGATAAAGTAGATTTTTTCAAACTGGACCAGTGATATTTTTATGGACAAATTTCCTTGTTAACCTGACGAGTATGCACTGATGATGACTCAACAGTCGAAAGCGGTCTGCTACGAGTAATGAATTCGAATAAATTATCTTGCACGAAATACAACACTTCTCTTCATTGGTAATTTTTTTTGTTAGTAGAAGTTGGATTCTTGAGTCTGAGGAAATCGTTGGACTCGCTCGTGAGCCAAGTGAAATTGTTCTTCCAACAGAATTGGAGGAGTACTTCGTGATCTTTGTTAAAATCGTTGTAAAGTTATCTGATATTCTTCAGTGCACACTTCTTGGCATAGGAGAAAGAGCGACGCTTGAGACCATCCCCACCACTTCACTTTTCTGTCGAGAACGTCACACGAAAAAACCACGCAAATATTAAAACGTGAAAGAGCTGGCGCTTTTGTGATATATTATTGCATTTTTGAACTACATGATCAAACACGATCTGCTGGCAATTCCGTACTCATGAAAATAAACAAGTCTTTATCCCTTCCAATATAACTGAAACTTCTATCTAAATTGAACTACGAGAAGAGATTATTTGAATATATTATGTAAATAACTCTTGTAAATTGTTCAAAATGAGGAGTGGTCGAAGCCACTGCGTATATCCACAGTATCAGTATCAGTGGAACTGCTCATAACAACATATTTTATTTTAAATGCTTCAGATATTGAAATTCGTTCAATTCATGGTTTAGTCATATCATTTGATTACGTTGAATGAAAACGTAGTTGTTTTTAATCATCTGATTAACTAATTAACATTCACAGTTTCTGTTTTTTTTTTCAAACTTGCTTTATTCTAATGGTTAAAATTTTATAATTCTCTTTTTCCGATGTACAACCACAATCGTGGGGGCGTTTGAACACAATTCAATTTTTATACTGGAACTTTCCTTTTAAGTGCTAATGCATTATCTTCAAGACTGAATTCACTTCGCATTTTAATTTCTCAGGTATGCATTACTTTGTTTTTATGAACAGGACGATTTAGAATGTTCCGGTCTTGCATTGAATTTCCCTCCACATTCCGCTTAAATGTTTTTCTACCCCAATATTTTCCTCGGAATTATGTTCCATTCGTTCGTGCTCAATTCTCTCGTGTAGATTTTTCGTGACGTTAGTGACAAAGAGGTAGTGGAGTGGGGATGGTCTATACCGGCGCTCTTCCTACTTAACACTTCTTCAATGCACGTACTAGCACATGAAATTTGCTCAACAAACTGTGCTGCCGGTTGAATCTGCTCAATATGTAATCCGCGAGATTTACTCCCGTAACATTGATAATCGTCACAAATTCCTCACAAAGTTCTTTTCCTCAGGAATTGACATAAAATTGATTACTGAAGAGAATCGAGGAATTAATTGATAAAATGAATGAAAGAGAGAAACTATGTTAAGCGAGTTGAGCACACCAATGAACTGGCATATAAAATTGACTAGCGTCTGGAGGAAGGAGGAAGAAAATAAACAACGTAGTGGGAGAACAGCGCCAACAGGACCTACTCTATCTCCCCGGGCCGGAGCATCGTATTCGTGACGTCACACTAGTAGGGACAAAATCGAGGCGCTGGAAATTGCGTTTCCCAATTCATTGATGTACCACGGGAAAACGGTAACAGTTATCAAAAAATATCAATAGATCAAATATGTACAGACTAGACCTTTTTCAAGAAATGAATCAATATTCACTGATTTACGATTAATAGTTCAAGAAATATTGCATATCAAAATGAATTGACTACATTCAGAATTGTCGTTTTTTAAACAGCTGCTATAATTCCAATATGCAAGTCACAGAAATGATTCAACCATGCGAAGGCTTCTCAGAGTTTCTAGATTGACTGTAATATTTTTCAAAATTCCCAAGAGCCGATAACAAACCGATATTTCAATTCAAGTAAAATGGTGATTCAGATGATTATTACAGACTAGTTCAAAAATTTTAGACGGCCCCCATGCTTAACCTATTAGTTGTGGATAAATGCTGTCACTGACTTTTTTGTAGTAAATTTCATTGCCTACAAATCGATATGATACACTTTTACTGTATCAGAGGATTTTAGCAGCGTTTATGTATAAAGATATTCTGGACACACTTTGATGACGTTAGAAATTATATACCTACCCGAGTAGAAGCTATTACGCAAAAGTATATATATTTTAGAAATAATCTCATATTAATTGATTTGAGAACATTTACAAAATATGAAAATTAAAAAGAACAAGAAATATGTAGTTCTCATACACACAATACTAAACGAAAGCCATTCTGAAAATATTCAACATAATAAAGGAGAAAAAATAGCCAGATATTTCAAAATGACATGTACTTATAACAAAATTTATAAATCACAAACTAAAAAATGGTCTCTAAGCTTCATATTCATCATTTATATTTCATAGTAATACCTAATTATTCAACACAATATCCAATATCAAAATACCCACAACGGGAACATGAGTAATAAAACGTGTCCCTTACCTATAGGGAAATCGTTAATAAGGGGAAATTAGGTAGGTATAATACTAGACAAATTTTTATGCGCTCTTTATTTCTAATTTATTTCGGACTCATTGTAGGTAGCTCAATAATTTTCTAACTATTTAATTGATGCATTATCCTAGTTTGACATAGCCAGTTTCATTTTAAACTGATTCCAAATAGGCAAAAATAGTATTCCGTAGTACAACGTCCTGATTCTCATTAAAATTGAATTTCTTCACAACATCATAAATTGGTACTGGTTCATCCTAATGAATTTATTATTTTGCCGAAAGTTGGGTAGTTCATTAATATCTGCGTCTCGATTGAGTGTGCTAATTTTCAAAGTAAATGAGCTATAACCTTTCAATTACGAACGCACCGATATGAAATGATGCGAAATCTCAACCTACTAGTGTGACGTCAGCATCGAGGTAGAGGGGATAGACTACGGCCCGGTGAGAGAAAGTAGGCGGGCACAGATCACCTAGCGACGTGCGGGACGAACGTTGGAGGGAAGGAGCGAAACAATAATTTAATATTGTTATTGGTAGGTAAAAAGCCATTACCCTTTATTGGCACCGAATTATGTATCAAGGGAAAGAGTGTATAGTCGGTTGACATTCAACTGTTTTCAGAATATCTACTCATTTATAATTATAGTTTGGTCTGCGTGAAAATGGGATCAAACTGTTGTGCAGAATGTACAAAAACGTTCAGCCTTTTTCAAATTCTCAGAATGCATTGTTTGAAGTCTCATCCAACTAAGATAGCCCCATTCAAAAAAAGTGGGAAAGTGTAAGAGTTTTCCTGTGATAGAAGCGGGTGGAAGTTTAACATGGAGATAAATAGTACAGCTCACAATAAAAATGGTTCAATTCACCTGCAAATAGTGCGGTGAAATCCTCATCTGATTGCCAATTGTCCGTGAACAAAAAATTGAGAGATCAATTCGAGAATCATTTAAAGAATTCGCATGACTTAACTTAACGTTGGTTGGAGAAAAATCTCGAAATTCCATCTTATCAACAATTTATTGAATGGAAAAACGACATATAGAACTGAAAGATAGAACTCATTTCGTTAAGAATATCGAAACGAAAAGATCGTCCAGATTAGAGATACAATATTTTTATTGTCATCGCTCTGGATATTTTCACTCAGAGTTTTGTGGTTTTGTTTCTCCCACTACGTTGTTTATTTTTGTCCTCCTTCCTCCAGACGCTAGTAAAATTGAACCATAGTATTCTTATCTTGGTTCACTCGAAATACTCGCAGAATCACATGAAATCTCTAAATCTTCACACCTTTCTCATAACTCCGCATCCTTGAAAATAGTCATAGAGTAATTACTCACAAAACGGCAGCACTTTCAACAAGGTTCTGTAACTGCCACTGCATGATCTACGTCGACAAAACGTGACGAAACTTTTTTCAACGCTCTTCAATGCATCTACTCAAAATTCTGATGGAAAATGGCGATTTATAGAAATCGATTGCCACAGATTCGAGAATCCAGCCCCTGATACTCCGGTACTAATTGTGGAAAAATATCTGGGCACAGTATCGATCAACTCGTTCATAGACTCGAGAATCGATTTATACCGTCAAGCTGTCAAAAGTGTCATCTGTCAGATTTTATTAGTATCGATACCGATTTCCAAAGTATCGATATTCCGATAATTGAACTATCAAAGGTTCATTGCCTGCTAAATTGATAACATGGTTAGGTAATCAAGATTCATAATGAATTTTTCAGAGACGAACATTATTTTAAACAGTGCCGTGCGTTTTCATTAATATGGAAAGAGGTCCATTCTCCACGAAATCGTTTTTTGCATGATTCAAATTCAACGAGTTTTCACATTAGAACATTGAAGTCAATTGCTGGTACATCTTTCATAAAACCAAACTTGAAGTTGACGATGTCACATAGGTTTTCCATTTAGCAGACAATGGGACGTTTATTCAAACTGTTTGCCATTTTGATAAAGTGTTCCTAACTAATTTTATTATGGTAACTGAATGTTTTTTACATTTCAAATTGACCATTTGCAATAGCTAGAAGTCGCATCTTTTCGAGCGTTTTTCAGGTGGGCAACGATCTGTTTTTCAAATACTTCTGCGGTTTTTCATTTTCTATTATATTCCTCGTTCATTCAAATTCAGTGAACTGAATGTTTACACCTGGAAGGGAGACTGCCGTTTTCTCGAATAGCACAGAGTGTGCAGCTGCAACAAAGATAGCTTGTGTTACGGTAACCTGTCTCTTTCATACTCGTGTTGTTTAATGGCGGATTTGTAAGTCATAACTCCATTGTTTATTGTTATTTGAAATATTGCTTCATTCGGCGTGTTTTGTTTAATCAAAAGGATTGCATTTGCTGGTGTGAATTGATTGTTGTTGAAACGGTTTGTGATTTCGAATGATGAATGATTATGCTTATAAAGCTGAGACATTGAGTTTTGCTCACCCTGTACAATATATTGGGATATTTTAACGAGATTATATAATTTTGATTTTGTGTACATTTGAATTCCTAATTCTGTCAGAATAAAAACGAAATTTCACTTTTGAGTCAATTCAAAATTCAATAATGATTTTTTAATGTAATATTGGTTGCATCATTGTCCTTTTTTCTAAATGAATATTCATATTTAATTACGTTTACTCTTCAATAAAAGCAAAAAACCAACATAAGATCAATATTTTTGCCTCACTCGTCGTTCACAGAGGAGCCCTTCCAGGTGTTTACATTGACTTCATAGTTCATTGTTTAAATGCTACAGATAAAATAGGTTATGATTCGAAGTTCACGCGCTCCTTTGACAAATGACCGTCACTGGAGGCAAAACAACGTCACTTTTCTTATTTGATAATTTGTTTATAAAGGATTGAAACAGTGTTTCACAATTATTTTGGCTTACGAATCGTGTTTCTTGGGATATTAATTTATTCAAGCAATCCATCACCTTGTGTTGTACAATGCACAAAAAATGCAGCGAGAGACGAAGGAATAAAGTTTTTCAGGTAGATAAATTGTGATCTGAAATTGATGTACTCACTCACATGGTTTTCATTTTGAAATTATGACATTGATGGAAATTAATGACACCAGTGACAGATTCATTGCCAACCGATAGCTGTTGCATGTGATCAATCATTGATAAGAAGATGAGTGAGGAAAACAAAAACATGATGTCACAACCTACTATTGTTTTCCAATGTTCATAGACTTGGCCTAAGTTTAATGGTAATGCTATCTTCCTGCCATATGATTGTCAAAATCCCTAGCCCAGTGTCCGAAGTTTTTTGTGTTGATTTAATTTTCGTCTTTCAGGGGAATATCAATCTTGCCATTTTTTTTTTGTTAATGGCGGCGACTGATTTCTTTCGAGATATATGACTGATTTGTGAGAAGAAAATGAGTGTTGATGTTTTCCAATGTAGGTGGTTTGAGTTATATTCAAGGTGTTTACAACCTGTTGCCTAAAATCGTGGTAATTTTAAAAATATATAATTTTTATATATGTTAGATGAACTAATCTATGCCAAACAAAAAGAAAGGGTAATTTTGCACTTATCATGCAATGATTTTTTTTCGAAATTTTCTTTGGTAGTTACGTATTTTTGTCTAAAAAACACGAATTTGATAATGAAAATGTGAACAAACCATTATTTATCAAGATATTTCTCTATGAAGTTACAAATTTCACCTTCTTTTCCGCCTGTCTTCTGGAGCGCATTTAGAACAATTCGCCCTTCTTTTTCCATCATTGGACAATTTATATATATCACAATGTACGACACAGTTTTTTATATTATATGAGTCGATATGATTTTCTTATTATTTATCCATGTTTAGTGAAAAGAAGGAGGACTTTATAATTTAAATAATGGCGTGTGTAATGTCATTCAAAAGCAATCTATTGACATTTGACATCTCGGATTTGGATTGACTATTGATTAAATGATGATTTTATGTTGAATTTTCAATATGAAAATGTGTCATTGAAGTACATCATGAGTATATAAAGTGTTCATTGACAAAATAAGAAGAGCAAATATCTGTAAATGCATCCAACACAAGGGGACAAAGAAGGCGAAATTTCGAACTTTTTCTTGAAATATCTCGATGAATTGTGGTTTGTTCACATTTCATTATCAAATTCGTGTTTTTCAGACAAAAATACGTGAGTACCAAACATATTTTCCGAAAAAAAAAAAAAAACATCGCATGATAAGTGCAAAATTACCAAAAAAAATATTATTTTTAAAGGAAAGTAACCGTACAAACAATAATTTATTCCCTATTGGAAGGTATTTATTTAATGTTAATGTTTCTCGATGAATATTCATTGATGGCATAGATTTTTTTTAATGATTAAAATTTCAAGACTGATTGTATTAAGATTTGTTACCAATTTTTTGGTTATAATATACATAATAATTGAATATCATCAATTGAAACAGCAACAATAATAATTCCAATATTTTATAATTCTGACTATTTAATCCACAATCGATATTTCAATGCTCAATTTTGCAGCTTATTTGAACGGATTCGAACTTTTTCTTGTATGATACTTGCAATAACATCAATAAGTCATATGTATTAAACATAACAATAATGATTGTTTAGATGTGATATTTTTCAATTATTGTTTGTTACATTCGGGGTAAAATACAATTTCATCTAATTTATTTTTGGAGGCAGAGGTGGCCGTTGAAAATATTGTTGAAAATGCTGAGTAGGTATTAGGAAAATTTATTTTGACCTAAGCTATTTTTGGATCCACCAGTGATAAACAGTTTTTCTTGGCCAATGGGACAGTTGAAATTTTTTTGAACCAATGGAAATTGAAAAAAAAAACACTAATATTTCATATCATGGAGTATCACGAGAGTTTTCTTGCCACAAGGTGTTGATTGAGTATGTGGCCAAACATCCAGGGGTGATTTTTCGGGTGGTTATTAGACGAGTCAATTTTTGCTTTTTAAAAACTGTTTTTTGTTAATCTAGCTAGACTTTTACTACTACGAAAAACACTGCCAAAATTCAACAAATGAGGTGAAGGATTTAACGATATTTACGAAAAACCGTAGTTTTTTTCAATTTGACATCTTTTGTATAAACTTTTCATCTTTAGAGTAATTCAACAAATCACTCCTCGAAGTTTGGCCGCTTACTTGACTAACACTCTGTATAGAAGATGTACCAGAGAGATGTAGGAAACCATATACCGGGTGATCCATTCAAGACTATTCACCCCCGATATCTCCCAGAATTATTATATTACAAAAAAATGACGAAACAGGTCGATTTTCATATGGAGGGGGACATCTTTTGACGCAAAATATATCATTGCGAAAGTAATTCAATTCTGAAACTAGCAGTGGAAAGTTTTTTGAATTTCAACAAGTAGTTCTCGAGATATTCGAGTTCAAATGGTATGTTTTCCAATTGCGAGTAATTGAATGTAAGGGAATGTAGTTTCGTGGAATTGAAAATTCTTCAAATATTACAGAAATTTCGAAGAATTAAAAACAAAATCTAAAAGTTGCAATAGAAAGAGAAAATTCGGGAAGCATGTGTAAAATTCAAATATAGAAACAACTTTTTCAAGTAAACTTTTTCGATATTCGAACAAATAAGCCTACTTTCAGCGATTAATTTGAAACAAATTCACTTTTGACATGTAGCGCAAGTCACGTGACCCCGATTGAGTAGGCCATTTTTCATCTTTTTTGAAGCAAAACTTAACGTCCAACTCGAATTTCAAAATAAGTCATTAATAAAAGTTTTTCCCATATGATGCCGACTTTATGAATGACACTGTAGAATAAAAACATTTTTTCACTAGGAAAAACTTCAATAATCTTGTGAAACTGAAAAATGTATCGTTTCCTTTTATTTCATCGGGTAATGAATTATAAATTCGGGGAGCCATTGCTATAGAAGAATCATAATGAATTTTCGTATTACTAAACGGAATATAAAAGTGATCTTTTTGGCGTGTATTGTATTCGTACCTTGAATTATTAATCTTGAAGATATTTCGATTTTTATACACATAAAGACAGAATTCAAGAATTAACAACGATGGTAGAGCCAGGATTTTCAAGTTTTTGAAGTGGTCCCTACAAGAAGAGCGTTTTGATATTCCTAGGAGTGAGCGTATAATACGTTTCTGTGCAATAAAAACATCTGATGATGCGGTAGATAGGCCCCAGAAGCGTACTCCTGGATGGTGGATTCTATTTGGGCATAATATAATTTCAGGAGTTGGTCACAGTTAAGTAATGGTTTGAGATTCCTGAACTGATATGAGTAAGAATTCAATTTGGATCGTAGTATTCGGCAATGATTATTCCATGTAAGACCACGACCAGCCCTAAGAACTTGACTTCTTGAACAATGTTCACACAGTGATTATCTGTAGATATGTTCACATCGATACAGGTTTTCTGACGATTATGGAATCTCATTGATTTTGTTTTATCCATGTTCAAACTCAAGAAGTTTGCATTGAACCTATCTTTCACGATCGAAAAAGTCTCATTACATTTATGTGATAGTAGACTGTCTGATTCATCTGAGATGATCAGCGACGTATCATCCGCATACATAGTGGAAGAAGAATGGACTGGTATGTCATCCAAATCATTCAAGTATAATATGAAAAGGACAGGCCCCAAAACTGAGCCTTGTGCATTTTCGTATGGAGGTAAGTTGATTTCAATTGGTATATTTTGGTCTCTCGTTCACCCGGTAGGATTTATGGTACTTTGTTCTGGGAGACATTGTATATTCATTTCAGCATATCTGAGTCTTTTATCTATTCAGGCTCACTATTGGTTTTTTGTTTTCGAAATTATGACGCAGTGTTGCCAAATTATATCATTTTTTCCTGCACTGGAGACATATTTGAAAAAAATACATTACCTATCTTTTCAAGAATTCACATTGGTTAAAAAGTCACAAAATTATCCCACTGGTTGAGGACAAGCTGTATAAAAAAATGGACGATATTTTCAAGTTTCCTTCAGAGTGTGGCGCGGAAAATCTGTCTTTTCTCAATGTTGTAATTTTCCTACCAATTTTCAACAATGTTTTCTTTTCTTCCGAGTCTTAATGTCCATAATAATCTTGCCTGGGGAAGTATGTAGTTAAGGGATTAAGTCTTAGTTTGCCATATATTTTTATTTAATTATGTAATTCTATTTATTGAAATTAGCACAATAAAATACTAGATATCTTGAATAATAAAGTCGATTGTATATACTTATACATATAATATTCATTGTAAATAGTTTCCAATTGAATCTCAATCAGCAACATAGTTGATATTTTGTATTATTGTATTCAACAGCTATATTGTGCACATAGGAATATTTTTGCTACAGTAGTACAAAATAATATTTTAAGGGCTAACGAGCTTTAACAAAATTCACTACAGTATTTTTGACTTTCATGAGTTGATGGAATTGTATATAAGAAATGTGTTTTTCATCGGTTTTTCATTTGTAATCGTATTTATTTGAATTTAGGTACTTTTTTTATGTGATGTGTGAGATTATACTAAGAATTGAGTACTAGAGTCGGGCTAAAAAGCCTTAACAAATAATATGTAACTGTCCCAATATGTAATATTTTACGACAAACAATTTTTTACTGTGTAGTAATTTGTAGATGTCGCAAAATAAAAAAAAATAGTATTTATAGGTTTGTATTTTTTTCAAACAATATTTTGATAATCTTCTTATCATTCAATCTGGAATCAACTGTCCAAATAATCTAATGTGATTGGTTTTGTTTACTGTAACCTATCAGTTTCACTCTGAATTATGCTAGATATCTTAGGAACTAAGAAAAATGAAGGAAAGCTAACTCAGATTATTGTTCAGCACATCAAGAACATCCTGTATGCTATTTTTCAGCTCATTCTGACGCCTCGAATTTTCTGAAATGAGTTTTCAGACCCGAAAATCTACTATGTGGAAGAGCCTTCAAAATTGTTTGCCCTATTACGGTGTGAAACAACAGCTCTTTTTCCTCAAAAATATAAAAGCAATTTTTCACCTGTTTTCCTTTCCTTGCGGCACCTTCAATATACAATGGCTCGATCTAGTACCTCAATTAGATTGGAGATCAATGTCATAAGCAGACATAAGAAACAGTATTTTTGACGGAACTGAATCAATTCTATTTTGCCCACGAAAAGAATTTCGATCGTTGTCATCATTTCAATCACATTTCGAGATTTTTTTTTTCATTTTCAAACGCAAATATCTAGAAAACCAAGTGAGATTAATACAAACTCTGACCTCAAATCCTTCATGAGCACATCGAGGACATCCTGTATACAAGTTTTCATCTCATTCTGACGCCTTCAAAATATTTGAAAAATAGTTTATTTTTCAAACCCAAAAATCAACTTTGTCATAGGTCCTTCCAATTTGGTATACAGGGACCTTTGAAACCACATCTCTCTACCTTCAAAATTATTCACCTACTTTGTTTTTCTTGCGGTACCTTCAATATAAAACGGCTCTTTCTAGTACCTCAATTCGATAAGAGACCGATGTCATGAGACCTACTAAATTTTTGGTGGAACTGATCGAATTCAAGTATTTTGCCCATGAAAGATAATTCATTGTTTTTATTTCAGTCATACTTCAGATTTATTTTCATATTGGAATGAAAATATCAGCAAATATCTTGAAAACCAAGTGAGATAAAAACAAACTGACTTCAGATTCTTGTTCAGCATATGAGGAACATCCTTACAAGGTTTCACCTCATTCTGCATGACGCCTCTAAATATTTCAGAGCCAAAAATCAACTTCATATCAAGGCATTCAAATATGGTCTTTAAGGGATGCCCTAGTGTGGATTCCAAGTACAGCTATCTGTCTTTGAAAATAAAAAAGTTACAATTTTTCACCCTGATTTTCTCGGATTTTTTTCAAATGCGAATATCTTGAAATCCAAGAAAGATGGAGAAATACTAATTTCAGATTCTTGTTCAGCACATGGAGGACATCCTGTTTGAAAAGTTTTAAACTCATTCTGATGCCTTGAAATATTTGAAAAAGATTCAAAGGGGTTATAATCATCAGTTCTTTTTCAGACCCAAAAATCAACTTTATCCTAAGGCATTCAAATTGGATATACAGGGTCTTTAAGGGATGCCCTATTGTGGATTCCAAGTACACAGCTACCTGTCTTTGAAAATAAAAAAGTTACAATTTTTCACCCTGATTTTCTCGGATTTTTTTCAAATGCAAATATCTTGAAAACCAAGAAAGATGGAGAAAAACTAATTTCAGATTCTTGTACAGCACATGGAGGACATCCTGTTTAAAAAGTTTCAAACTCATTCTGATGCCTTGACATATATGTAAAAGGTTCAAAGCGTTATAATCATTAGTTCTTTTTCAGACCCAAAAATCTACTTTTCCATAGGGTCTTCAAATTTGGTATACAGGGTCCTTAATACTCTAGTGCAGAGTACAAGCACAGCTTTCTATCATTAGTAATAAAAAAGTAGACATTTTTGACCCTGGTTTTCAGATTTTTTTCAAGTTTGAATATCTTGAAAACTAAGAGATATTGATGGTCTATTGAGAATATCAAGAAATTTGCTATGAATTCAGTTATGCTTGAATAAGGAAACTGACTGACTTGAGATGAAAATAAGCTGTAGCCTTGTTCAAAACATTGAGAACAGCATGATGTATGCAATACTCTACCATATTCTTCCAAATATATGACAAATGTTCTATGCTTTAAGTTAATTTTGAATTTTCATGTTTGAACATAATATATACTTTGGAGAAATGAAATGTGAACCTTCAATACAAACTCATTTTACTAGAAGAAAAATGAAATGATTAAGATCTACACTAGTTGTACATTTTACAAAACATTCACTCAGACATTGGTTCTGGGCTATTTGTATTAACATCATCCAGAGAAGTATTAACTTCCATCACTCCCTTCTCCTCCTCCTCATTCAACAAAACCTGAAGCATATTAGCAGAAGTTGACAGCACATGAAACTGCTTCTTTCTCTTCTCCAATTTCTGTTCTAACCTGTGTTTCTCCTCCCCCAAATCCCTGAGTTGCTTCTGCAATGATATCAACTGTTTGTTCATGTCGGTTCTAGGTGGTTCTGCATCAATTGCTTTAGCTAACAGGTCATATTGGATCCTATTTTGTTTGATTGTCTTTGCCTTTTCCAGCTCTAAGCATTGATTTGCTATTTCTTCCTTGATATTGCTGATTCTCTCCTCATAATCAGCATGTAAATTGTGATACTTGATAAGCTGATCATCATTAGATTTTGTTATCAGTTCTGATCTCTTGCGTGAATGCTCTATCATGCTGAGCTGTGCTAGAATCTTATCATACATCTGGCTGCTGTCTTCTTGAGATTCTTCTGAGTTGTTCACCCATTTGGTTATCATCTTTATCATCAGATTGAAACGTCTGTCATCTCCTGTGCCATCTCCATCGAAAATCAGGCGTCTTTTGATCACTTCTTCTGAAAAATGATAATTTTCCTTTAAAAGTTTTAAAACTACTGATAACTATTTGAAATAAATACCGTCGGTCATTATTAACTTCCTGGGTGATTTTCTGATTTATAACGATTATACAAATAGTGAAATTTGCAAATTAGTCATAAATTATTATAAAATAGTAGTGAAATTTTGAAAATTTTGAAATTTATTTTGGATTCATTCAAATTCAAACCACAATTTTACCACGTCTTATTATTTTTTCGGTCTATAGCTTACGGAGTTCGAACTCAAACTAATAAGAATTCAACCAGAATCATTCACCCAGAAAGCTTATGGACCCTATGTCCTAGGTACCATGATCTTAACAATCACAGACTGGAGTGACTGGTGACATTTTCAATTCTTTTGTGCATTCTTTCATCTTTGAAGTTTGAAGTTCTAGTTCTATGTTATGTTGATTTGATGTGTTGATAATGCGCTTGGCGCCTAGCGTTGTTTTCATTTTAGATTTTTTATTAAATATATCGTTTATAACTCGAACATTTCGTTGGAATTGCTGAAAAGCGATTCGGAAAATATGAATATTGATTTCCATATTAGCTGAACCCTGTCACGGTAAGCATCTAGGTTATTTTATTTTGGGAATTATTGGATAGTAGGTTTTTATACCTTTATGCTTTTCAGATTATGAGGCATAGGCGACAATTCTCGAATAAAGCAGACACTGGGATTGCTCCTCGGATTGCTCCTAGAAATTTTAAACCGCGCAGGAAACTTGGTGAAAAACCTTTGAACAATCAACTTCTGAGAATACATTTGCTGAGAGAGGATCTTAACAGTGAGTAAACAAAGAAGTGATTTTCAATAAAATCTAGTTATGAAGCCTTCAGGAACAGCTCGGCACTTTAAATGTATATAAAATCAGTGACCTAAGGGCTGCTATGGCATTATATCAATTCATGTTCTTGAATTTCAGTAATTTGTCCTGAATTATGCAGAAATATTAGTAGGCAATAAAGTAGTCCACAGGTGCCTGAGTGCCACTTTAGGCCTGGTCATCTGCATTATTATGAATGCAAAATTCATTGAGAACCTTGGACAATCCCCTATTCAAATGAATATTGCAGTGTAGAAAACAGATTGATGTGAAGTTATCCATGATTTTCTAACCACACTTTATGATGTGTAGACTGTAGAAATTGGGATGGATAGAGGAGATTTCGCATACAACGTTGCCAAACTTCCCTGCCATGCTTTTTCCAAGGACCCTTATTTAAATGTATGTTTCAGCAGTATTTTCCCTATTGAACATTTCCCTGATAGCCTAGGAACTGTTACAAACATTCTAAGAGCAGGGAAAAGTTATCACTTCAATTGTAGGTCTTTATTTTTTATTATGTATTTTCAATTAACTGTGTTGAAAGGAATTTGCAGTGCCATAGGTGAATTTATAAAAAATATAATCTGCCATTTTGATACCTTTTTTTTTGAATTACTGAAATCTCTAATTGCATTGCCGTAGGAGAACTTATAAAAAATATGTCATTTTTGATTCTTTTTTAAAAGCTTTTATTTAACTTGCATTGTATGTTTGTATGGATGGATGTATGTATGTTCGGGTGGAATCTTTGAACTCAATTTTGAAGTAGAAATCTTCAACATATTGAGCTGAAATTTTGTATACACGTTCAGTTTGGATGACAATGCACGATAAGGTGTGTCACGTTATTCTAAATTTAATATGGCGGACTATCCAAGATGGCAGAATAGCTATTTTTGATATACTTTTGCAATATGGGTATCAAATGAAAAGGCTCGTTGAGATCAACTCGAAAAATTATGTGACGTCATTCTAAATCGAATATGGCGGACCATCCAAGATGGCGGTATGGTCATTTTTAATCTACTTCAACAATATGGGTATCAAATGATAGGGCTCGTTGAGAATAATTCGAAAAATAATGTGACGTTATTCTAAATCCAATATGGCGGACTATCCAAGATGGCGGAATAGCTATTTTTGATATACTTTTACAATATGGGTATCAAATGAAAAGGCTCTTTGAGAGTAACTCGAAAAATGATGTGACGTCATTCTAAATCCATTATGGCGGACCATCCAAGATGGTGGAATGGTAATTTTCAATATACTTCTACAATATGAGTATCAAATGAAAAGGCTCGTTGAGAGTAAATCGAAAAATAATGTGACGTTATTCTAAATCCAATATGGCGGACTATCCAAGATGGCGGAATAGCTATTTTTAATATACTTCTACAATATGGGTATCAAATGAAAAAGCTCGTTGAGAGTAACTCGAAAAATGATGTGACGTCATTCTAAATCGAATATGGCGGACCATCCAAGATGGCGGTATGGTCATTTTTAATCTACTTCAACAATATGGGTATCAAATGAAAGGGCTCGTTGAGAATAATTCGAAAAATAATGTGACGTTATTCAAAATCCAATATGGCGGACTATCCAAGATGGCGGAATAGCTATTTTTAATATACTTCTACAATATGGGTATCAAATGAAAAGGCTCGTTGAGAGTAACTCGAAAAATGATGTGACGTCATTCTAAATCGAATATGGCGGACCATCCAAGATGGCGGAATGATCATTTTCAATCTACTTCTACAATATGGGTATCAAATGAAAGGGCTCGTTGAGAGTAATTCGAAAAATAATGTGACGTTATTCTAAATCCAATATGGCGGACCATCCAAGATGGCGGAATGGTCATTTTTAATCTACTTCTACAATATGGGTATCAAATGAAAGGGCTCGTTGAGAGTAATTCGAAAAATAATGTGACGTTATTCTAAATCCATTATGGCGGACCATCCAAGATGGCGGAATGGTCATTTTCAATATACTTCTACAATATGGGTTTCAAATGAAAAGGCTCGTTGAGAGTAAATCAAAAAATCCAGCTAGCGATAACTAAAAATTAAGAAATAAATTAAAAGTAAAAAAAAACTCTTCAATAAAAATCTTTTATTTAAACGCTCTAAAAAACGCTCAATAATTTTAACAATCAACTTATAACCTCATTATACACAATTTATATGATCATAAAAGCTTGTCGCGATGATCAATATTTAATTAAATTGTAATTTTAAAAATTTTATCAGCAAATTTTACATAATTAAATAAATACTAGTTAATTCACTCAAGTTAATCGCGCGACAAACTTTTATGATCATATAAATTGTGTATAATGAGGTTAGAAGTTGATAGTTAAAATTATTGAGAAACATTTTATTTTCTTCTTTTCAGACCGTTTAAGTAAAAGCTTTTTATTAAAGAGTTTTTTTTTACTTTCAATTTATTTTGGAATAACTTTGTTAATAATCGATGTGCGTTCCTGAATTTATCGCTAAAATCTCTAGAATAACTCAATATACGTATCTAGAAACTGAAATGAATTTACAGTGCCGTAGGAGAATTTATTTTTTTATAAACCTTCCTACGGCACTGCAAATTGATACGTATATTGAGTTCTAGAAATTTTAGCAAAAAATTCATGAACGCTCATCGATTATTAACAAAGTTATTCCAAAATGAATATAAAAAATGACAGATTGATTTTTTTGTAAATTCTCCTACAGTACTGCAAATCCATTTCAGTGTCTAGTATGTATATAGAGTTATTCTAGAGATTTTAGCGAAAAATTCATGAACGCACATCGATTATAGACAAAGTTATTAAAAAAATCAAAAATGACCGATTAAATTTTTTGTTGATTCTCCTACGGCACTGCAAATCCATTTCAGTTTCTTGATATGTATATTGAGTTATTCTAAAGATTTCAGTGAAAAATTCATGAACGCACATTCATTATCAACAAAGTTATTGAAAAAAATTTATCAAAAATGACAGATTATATTTTTTGTAAACTCTCCTACGGCACTCCAAATTCATTTCAGTTTCTAGACACGTATATTAAATCATTCTAAAAATTCTGGCAAAAAATTCATGAAGGCACATCCATTATTAACAAAAATATTCCGAAAAAATCATCATAAATGACAGATTATGTTTTTTTATAAATTCTCCTATGGCACTGCAAATTCATTTCAGTTTCTAAATACGTATATCAAGTTATTCTAGAGATTTAGGAACATTGGTTATTAACAAAGTTATTTTAAAAAAAGTATAAAAAATGACAGATTATATTTTTTATAAATTCTCCTACGGCACTGCAAATTCATTTCTATTTCTGAATAGGAACATTGAGTTATTCTAGAGATTTCAGTGAAAAATGTATGAACGCACATCGATGATTAACAAAGTTATAATAATTAGTATTAGTATTATAATTAGTAGATAATGAATGGGTATGAGTGCACACCAACTACACCTTTTCCAGATGTATTTCAGAAAGCGTCAATTCAATTTCAGAATAGTCACTTGTATTTCAGAAAGCGTCAATTGTATTTCAGAATAGTCAATTCAATTTCAGAAAGCGTCAAATGAATTTCAGAATAGTCACTTGTATTTCAGAAAGCATCAATTGTATTTCAGAATAGTCAATTCAATTTCAGAAAGCGTCAATTGTATTTCAGAATAATCAATTCAATTTCAGAAAGCATCAATTGTATTTCAGAATAGTCAATTGAATTTCAGAAAGTGTCAATTGTATTTCAGAAAGTATCATTTGAATTTCAGAAAGCGTCAATTGAATTTCAGAAATCTTTCTCTATAGACTGAAAGCCAGCGACCGCCAGACGCCATTTCAACAAGGTTGATATTTTCTATGAGTGGTATATCTTATTCGATGGAATCGTTTTGTGGGTTGAAAATCTTCAGTACTGGATGAGCTTCCAAGAGATACCGGGTGTTGAAAGTACAAAAAAAACTGGATAAACATCATTTCAACAAAAGCTGATCTTTTTATGTTCATCCTATCATGATAGAGAATATACAATTGCCAGACACTTTCCACGGGGTGTTCTCCTGCCAGGCAACTTCATAAGTCGTGAAAATATTATGACATTTACGACATAGCAACAGAGCTTGATTTTGTAAATGTTATTAAGGAGCCTATTCTACAGTATCACAAACAGCTAGTCACTTCCGATTGGACAAACATGTAAAAATCGGAACTTTTTTATAGCAATAGAAAGAAGTTTATCTCTGATTGTCCCCTCTACATATACCTGAAATTCTGTGATCTGTTCATCAAATAGTATATAGGTACCTAAAAGGTACACAAAAAAATTTTGGGGTGAATAAAATGAAAACATCACTACAGGAAGCACAGAACATCCTATGCATTCTTACATGGAGTGCACTTTC